AATCTACAGCTCTATATATCTTACAGGGTCTTAACCTAGAGTGTCAACACAAAAGAAAAAGATTTGTGTACAACAGGTAGGCTTACAGCGGGTATATAGTACATAAACATCTGGTGATTACTCTAATAAACAACTGGTGTGGGATGGCTTATTGCCACAAATACTACATGTATATGGTATATTTATGTTTAGCTGGATGGAATGTTCTAATTATGAGGTCGGAGGAAAATATGATAACAATCTTAACTGGTTTGATAGGAAATAACATATAGGACCATCTAATATCCAGACCTAGTGAGATGGATATCTTATCTACATGAACTAAAGTACTATGTCTTTAGAGATAAACAGAGTCAAGTCCTGGTATTCTTGTTTCTATCAAAACATGCTTCTGGCGGTGATTTAACCCTTACTGCCTGAAAGTCATCAGCCCATAAATGTCATGGTTTTCAATATATAGATAGGATAACACCAAAATGTGTTACACTTATTGCTGTTCTTTGACAAAAAAAAAGTCTTTTTTTTTTTTTTTTTTTTAGATATATATACATGTATATGATTACAATTTAGATGTTCTTTTTATAATTAGCAAAAAATCAAATCAAGAGAATGTATCAAAGAAAAAAAAATCTCAAAATTTACAAAATAAAACTCAAGTCTGTGGAATGGTCAATAGGTATTCCTGGTTTGCTGTAAAATTTCAAAGTGGAATGTGAATTGAATGGTACTGGCAGTATATCGACAATATAACAATATTGAAGTTATAGTATGTACAGGGGATTGCTATCTGTACCATTCCAAGAATTGGTTTTAAAACTCATGTCAACCAATTTTCTGTAGGTGTGCAATCTATTTTTGCAAATTTTACAAATGAAACAAATTTGCAAAAGTTAATTGTCATAAATTAAGTTGGGATAATATTTAAAAAAAAAATGGGTACAGCATACAATATTCTATTTCTTAAAAGCGAATAGTTGCGAATTACTGTATTATAATGAAAAATTACTTTTTATTCAGTGAAAATTTGCCTACTCAACATCATTATCTTGGGCATTGTTTTGTACTTAAAAGTGTTCAATTACCACTTTTGGTCCCACAGTAAAAAATACTGAGGTATTCAGCATCATTTTGATCCCCAGTGTGCTGACAGTCCACAGTAGCAGATCAACAGATATAAACAGAGATTTTCCTGATTGGGACAAGTTATTTTATAGCACATAATGGTTATTCTGTACATAAATACCTTGCTAACCATAACAGCACCTGAAACCATTTCATCAAAATGACCTAAAAACACTTACTAACATAGAGGGTTTTGGCCACGATTTTTCATAATGCTTAAAATGGTGCAATAATGTATGTAGTCTGCAGTATCCTATCTCTATTGGCACACAGACAGCTGTGTAAGCTGACTCTATCCCCTTTAGCTTGAATTCAAAATGAGGTCACACGATGTGTGACGTCTTAAGTGTTACTTCCGCAATAAAGATACTCTATTTACCTACAACTACACAGGTCACGCCTACATTCATTTACAAATGTTCAAAATTGTTTCAAATTGAACCTTACCTTCATTAATAGTACATTATTTACATAAAGATGTGAGACAGTGAAAAATAGTGTTTTTTTCTTTCCATTTAAATTTATTTTGAAAGGAATGCAACAACTAGACATAATTATGTTCAGTTACATAAACAACCTTGTCCGAAACGATTCATCGCCTGTATCTAAAATAACTCAATAAACTTTACTTTTATCTGATTTTTTCTAGATATGAAATGTGTTGGCAGTAAATCTCATAAAAATGCCACATTACTGTGTCGCGGTATTCCACGTGCGGATATATATTCATTATCAACACTTCAGAACCAGACTGATGACTGTATCCTGGGGAAAATCATTAAATTTAGTCATATTTCAAAATAGGGTCTTAGTAACGATTAAAGCATTACATTTCCAGAACAAACCAAGATGACATTTTCGTAATAACTGAAGTGTTGGGAAAAGGGATAACCAGAGAAGTCTTTGTTGTTCCTGTATAATTGAATATTGTCGACTCACAATCCTTAGATGTGGATTTTCCACTAATATGGTTTTATTCAAACCGTGTTATTTGCTCAAGTTTTTATATATAGATATATAGTTTTAAGTTAAAATAAAATGGTTCACTTTCAATCAAGGATATGGTCAGTCAAAGTGATAAATTGATGTTACCTGAACCATGTGACCAGTCATCACAGTAAATTTCTCAATCATACATATCAAGCACCTTCAATTTCCTAAAAACAGGTATCAGCATATTTGTTCAGTAGTGCTGTTTAGATTATGATGTAACAGAATTTAACGTAAACCAAAATCGTGGCCAAAATGAACTTAATACACTCACCAAATTAAACAGGGCCAAGAATCCTTAAAGTAAAAAATTATCATAAGGTCCCAAACATACAATGATGATCTGGATATATAGGCTTAATAAGCCCACGTCCAGTATATTATTATTATTGCCAGTACATGTAAATGCAGATTTATGTCACTTACTGACAGTGAAATTTTTTCAGCTGAAGCTCTTTTCTAAAGAATTATTTATTCAATCACGTGGATAAGACGCAGTAACATTTTAAATTATCAATTGTTGGGGTTTGAGAGGAACAAAAAAAAAAAACAACAAAAAAACAAACAAAAACTCCCTTTCATTCTTGTATGCACTCATCAATAAAATTATTTCTTGACCATCCAAAATTCATATTCTCTTCTCATATATATCATAAAATCAAAATATATCAGCGCAATGATTGAACAGTATATATATCAATCTTGGAAGAATGGGTCATTTAAACTACATTACTACAACAATGATTAATCCTGAAAATTGTCATAAGTTACAACATTAACAAAATGTTTAAGATTTTAATACTAATTTTCAGCACATTTCTAAAAAATATACTATTAAAACTTATTATCATTTTTTAAATGATAAAAAACTAATTTTATAAATATTGTAATTTTTAAATATATAATCTCTAGCACAACCTAATTCAATCTCTAGAATAGCCCATAGTATGTAATTTCTAATCTATGCAGTATGTATATTAATTTCTTAATGATAAATATATAAATATGTAGATACTTATAAAAGTCTTGCATAGATATATATAAAATGATCACAACAACATCAAGAAATATTATACTATGAACATCGGTATAACTTATCTAAAATGATTTTAACACTGCTGGATTACCTCTCTTAGCAGAAATCATTTATCATTATGTCAGTGGAATTAGACTGTTGATAAAGGAAAAGAAATCACCTGTGATTTAAAATCTACAAGTATGAATAAAAGACACATGTCTAAATGAGTTTGAAAATCTTTTAAACAATCCATGTTGACATATCATGAAAAGATAAGTATTTCTTGGTACTTTCTAATCTCCCTAAGAAAAGTACTAACCCACATGGTTTTAAGTTTAGTTATTGTTTACAAACATATTTTGCATTGTTGTTGTATTTTGCCTTAAAGAATTAAGTGCAAACATATTCTAATTTTGCAAATAAGAATGTTTTCCCTGATGAATTGAGAAGGAAAATTTTCTTACGTCTCTCTTCATATTTCATTGGCATATGAATACATTTACAACCATTTTTTCCTCTTTTTTTATTTGTCAATAAAAATTGTACTTTGTGTTAATTGGTGAGTCACTTATTTTTGTGTAACTACCTAAACACTGGCTTCTCTGATACATGAAATTAATGACAGGTTATCGTATCAAACATTCAATATATGTTTTTAAATTATAATGTTGACCAAAATGTTGCTTTAAAGTGGATGATCTAATAAATTATAAGTGAACACAGAAAAGGAAACACACAGAGAAAAAATGAGTTGATGCAATTATTTACCATTGAACAGGTTGTAAAAATCACTTTTAAGTGAAATCCAACTTTCAGCTTTATCTTTTTTCAACATTAAGTATCAAACAAGTTATGTCAAGTATTGTTCAACTAAGTTAACCTAGAGAGAGACATCGGTCATATGTAGGGAGGAGTGTAGTGTAACCAAAGAAACCCATGTATGGGTGACCTGAATCCCAGTGGCTTTGTGATAGGTATTCACTAAGATATGTGGAGGTAATCCATTTGAATCTTCAACAGCAGATCATATACAGCAGTATAGCAATGTAATGATGGACAAGAACTACATCTTTATTACTTATTTTTGAGCTGACTTTTGAAACCAACATGATTTCACACAAAATATATACATAATGTTTTAACATTCAATTTTTTATAATCATATCAGCTGATTTCAGCCCCATTTGTTGGTATGATAAATCATTTATAGACATACTTTGTCACTACAAAGACGTTCCTGAATGATCAGTTATTGGAATATTTCGTACCTAAATGTCAATGACACCATATAGAATGGCAAAAAAGCAAAAAACAGCTTAGGCAACTGTCTAAACCAATCACATCACCTACAACATAGTATACGTGGGTTTTACATACAAAAAAAAAGAACTTCAAGTTTATTCCTTTTCTTTAGAACAAAAACAACTTAAACAAAGAATGAAAAGAAAATTGCTCAGATGGGCAAAATAATTTGTTTTTGTTCTATAAAAAGAAAATTGGTAAAATGTTTTTTTTCTTTCAATCTAAAACTGCATAATCTGATTATGATACTAAATCATCTAATTGAACTCTTAACCAACTTCATGACAAAAGATTTTCTTTGACATATATAGCAAAACAATTTCTAAATCTGCAATGAAATTGATACAAACCTTATGACGAGATTATCAGGCAAAACTTTCACCCATACCTATACAGCATCCTTAATCTCCTCGTAATTGTCTCTTTGTTTTTTTAATGAAATGAAATATAATTGCGAACGTTTTTTTGCAGATTTAATCTTTCGGAATCCTGCATGAAAATTTTGTTGAAGGGGCAACCTTAGAAGTTTGGTTTACTTCTAAACAAGAGATTCAATTGTCCTGGGATTTCTGTCAAACAGTTCCAAACTCCACCTGTTTCCTCCAACATCAAACCAAAGTGCTAACAGACATCTGCACTTCTCCATTCCCTCCCTGGAAAAGAATGAGCATTTGATGTATAATAAAAGCTTTTTCATGATTTTCTAAAACTGATCAATGAGTAAATAATTTCATTTTTCTTTCGCTTTCCTACTGTGACCACTACTCACTAAAGGATAGCAAAAAAACTTCTGTTTGACTATGCTGTTGGTATCATTATTTATATAAAATACTATTGTGTGTTTGTTTGTTTTCTTTGTTAACTGCCCTAATGAACAGGCAGGATAATGTTTTGATGGGGTTTCCTTGAAGTTGACAGTGACTGCTACCTTGATGAACATTATATGAGAGACCTGTCACATTCCATCTAGAGCAATTAGGGCAGTGTTCTAGCTGGGATGGAACAGCAGACCATACTGATCTGCCCTCATTTTCAAAAACTAAACTGCCGCCTGCTCTCTCTATGCCTTAAAACCTGGAAGCCAAGGTATTCCTTCTGACCATCCTGCCCTGTAGCCAATGTCTACATCTCTTAATTAAGTCAAGCATTGTCCTTATTGTAATATATACAATAGGTTATTGATTGGAAGGGGCAATCATTGCCTCCAGATCCACAGCAAAGGTGAACCCCACAGTTGAGGTGTGTTACACAACACCATTTATTGGAGACAACACAGGTGGTAATTAGCTGATATTTATAGGCAGGAGAGCGATAGAATATTAAGAAAACAATAGTTATGTCTATTACTTAAACAGGCATACCGTGCTAAAGCAATACATGTTCCCTACCAGCCCCTACAAGATCCTGCACTGTAACGATTTATAAAGATGGCACTGTTTGGTGTTAATTTGGAAACAAGATCTCCCAGAAGAATGTTGGTACCAACCATCATTCAAAAGTTGGATCTTTTCCCTTCTGTTCTCTTCTTTCCTCTGTTTTTGCTCTTACTAACATAAAATGTTTTAATTCCTCTCAAGAAAAAGGAAAAAATTATTTTTAGCTCCCCTATCCAAGATGGTTGCCTTCCTTTTTTATTGTTTCTAATCAGTCCCAAAATCAAAATGATCCACTAAGGACCTAGAGAAATCTACATATAAAACTTGAGAAAGATCCATCCGATTCTTATAAACAATAGATTCCTTAGGAATCTTCGCACCCACCATTGTTAGATTTTTATTTGTTCTTTAAACGTTAGATCTTTTCCTTTTTTTCCCTTCTCTCTTTTGATTTTTCTCTTGACAATAAGAAATTTGAACATTTCTGTGCAGTAATAGTGATAATAATCTTAACTGACAAATCCAAGATGGTCGCCTGGAAACCATATTTTTTTCCTAATCAGTCCCAAAATAAAACAGGTGCAACTAGGGACAAAAGGCAAAGAGACCGATCCAGCACTTCTCACAAATAGTGATAACACACTTTCATTCTTGAAACTAAAGATAGCTGTCATTTGGCCTTTTTCATATCGGTCCCAAATTCAAATGAGCACAATGAGGGCCCAAGGAGAGCCTACATATAAATTTGAGAACTATCTATTCAGTAACTCTCAAGAAATAGCGATAACAAACTGTACTTGGTAAAATTCAAGATGGCTGTCTATTGGCCATTTTGTTTTCTGATCAGTCTCAAATCAAACCAGCACAACTAGGGATAAAGGAGAATCTACATATGAAATATGAGAGAGATCAGCCATGTCCTTCTCAAGAAATAGTAATGACAAATTTCATTGTAAAAGGACAAGTTCATCAAGATCCCCTGTCCATGTTCATTTGAAAAATATATACATTTAAAGTGAGCAACATGAAAAACTACAAAAGACATCAGCCAAGCAGCCTCATTAAATATGTGCAGAATTCACCGTTAATCAAACTTAGCTAGTGGATTAAGGTAACAAATGTACCAACCAAATTTCATCAAAATCCTATCAGTCTTTTAAAAGATATGTGGAAAGCAGCATTCGAGAGTGATTAAAATAATCAGACAATCAGGTCACAGCAGCCTCATTAAACATGCACGGAATTTGCTGTTAATTAAACTAGGCCCCTGGAATAAAGGTATCAAGTATATCAACCAAGTTTCATCAAAATCCTATCTGTCCTTCAAAGATATCATGTGAAAAGAAGCATCTGGACAATTGGAAGGATGGACGGACAGAACGCATTTGAATATATCCCTGCCAACTTTGTTGGGCAGGGGATGAAAATACACTGTAATCCGTTAATTGCAAATCTACTTTTTTATTTACTTTTTCATGCGCATAGCTGTCAGAATACAAGTGATAACTACTGTGCAGATGCATTTTAATGATAATACTAGTTTGTCACTGACAGATTTGTTTAATGTTTTTAAATTCATTTACTGGATATATATGTATATATACAAAATACAAGTTCCATTTGATTCTATTTTATGTTTCGCTCTTACAGTGGTGTACATATAAAGTTATGCTGTAGTAACGTAGCTGCGACCTTCACTTTTTCATAACCCAGCTCAGCGCTATTGATGTTATATCAATGCAGAATGCACAATATTTGTAAAACTTTGGGTATTGATTCACTAGGTTATGCGTGTGCTGCAATTCAATGACAATTGTTTCACATTCACATTTCTTGATTCATATTCATACTTATAACTAAGTAATAACTACTAATAACCAAAAAATATTGTTAGTGTATAAAATTACTTATAACCATTTATCTAAATAAAAAATATTGTTAGTGTATAAAATTAAAAAATGTTTTTATTTATTTATTTTTTACTGTCAAACAATGAGACACATATCCAGTAAACAAACAGTGAAAATAGGGTTAATCTTTGATGCACAATGTCTCTGTACATAGAAAAACAGCGAAGTTGAACCATTGGATAAAGAAACACAGAGAAGTTAAACCATTGGATATAGAAAAACAGCGAAGTTGAACCATTGGATAAAGAAACACAGAGAAGTTAAACCATTGGATATAGAAACACAGAGAAGTTGAACCATTGGATATAGAAACACAGAGAAGTTGAACCATTGGATATAGAAACACAGAGAAGTTGAACCATTGAATATAGAAACACAGAGAAGTTGAACCATTGGATATAGAAACACAGAGAAGTTGAACCATTGGATATAGAAACACGGAGAAGTTGAACCATTGGATATAGAAACACGGAGAAGTTGAACCATTGGATATCGAAACACGGAGAAGTTGAACCATTGGATATAGAAACACGGAGAAGTTGAACCATTGGATATAGAAACACAGAGAAGTTGAACCATTGGATATAGAAACACAGAGAAGTTGAACCATTGGATATAGAAACACAGAGAAGTTGAACCATTGGATATAGAAACACAGAGAAGTTGAACCATTGGATATAGAAACACAGAGAAGTTGAACCATTGGATATAGAAACACAGAGAAGTTGAACCATTGGATATAGAAACACAGAGAAGTTGAACCATTGGATATAGAAACACAGAGAAGTTGAACCATTTGATAGAGAAACACAGAGAAGTTGAACCATTGGATATAGAAACACAGAGAAGTTGAACCATTGGATATGGAAACACGGAGAAGTTGAACCATTGGATATGGAAACACGGAGAAGTTGAACCATTGGATATAGAAACACGGAGAAGTTGAACCATTGGATATAGAAACACGGAGAAGTTGAACCATTGGATATAGAAACACAGAGAAGTTGAACCATTTGATATAGAAACACAGAGAAGTTGAACCATTGGATATAGAAACACAGAGAAGTTGAACCATTAGATATAGAAACACAGAGAAGTTGAACCATTGGATATAGAAACACAGAGAAGTTGAACCATTGGATATAGAAACACAGAGAAGTTGAACCATTGGATATAGAAACACAGAGAAGTTGAACCATTTGATATAGAAACACAGAGAAGTTGAACCATTGGATATAGAAACACAGAGAAGTTGAACCATTGGATATAGAAACACAGAGAAGTTGAACCATTGGAAATAAAAACACAGAGAAGTTGAACCATTGGATATAGAAACACAGAGAAGTTGAACCATTGGATATAGAAACACAGAGAAGTTGAACCATTGGATATAGAAACACAGAGAAGTTGAACCATTGGATATAGAAACACAGAGAAGTTGAACCATTGGATATAGAAACACGGAGAAGTTGAACCATTGGATATAGAAACACGGAGAAGTTGAACCATTGGATAAGTCAAGTATTTCATTTGATCCAGTCGACTGACTTATCTGTTTTACTGTATCTTCTTTTCCCTATAGGAAATAAGGCTGCTTTTTGTATAAGCAGGTGAAACAAATGGGCTGACTGAACCTGTGAAAAAAATTCCAGGCACAGATCAGGACAAAGGCCTGCAGAATAAATGGCATGTGTGGTGAGGTGACCGGTCTTATCTGTCCAAATCTTATTGACTGAATATCACATTCTCCATAAACAGGTTTGTGCATGGACATAGTTATGTAAATGTTGATGTTCAGTAAATGTTAAAATGAAACCCATTTGATTTTTGGTACATTCTCTTTAGTTTTTAAAGAAAAATTCAAAACTGTGCACTTTGAGCTTCACATTATCATAGCATATCCAATGTCAGGTACAGGTAGATTTATTTATAGTGGAACAATTTCGTAGAGCACATGTTGACACTGAATTGACCAGTTTGGCCAAAAAGCTTTTGTTTATTTGTATTTCTGATTTGAAGTTAATATTTCTAAACATTGTTTAAGCTTATTTTGTAAAATACAAAACAAGTCTATTTGGAATAAACATACCCATCTTCGTGTCAGAGAAGCAGACAGTTTGCGAACCATTGGAGTAAATGAAGGTCTGTTTTCTGGGGCAGTATTCCAGCACTGCTCGATACACTGGGACCTGTGGAATAACACATGATAACATTACAAAAAGAAAGCCATATAAACACGTAAACACATTTTTATGTAAACAAGAAGTAAATCCTTGTGAGAATAATCAGGGATAGAGTTTATAAGATTCACCTGCATACTTCTACAATCATCAAACATATGAAGTGAAAAAAAATTGTTTTGACTTGTTATCTTCAAATCATGTTGAAGATTATCAATGATCCAAAATTACTCCAATAACACTATTATGTTTGATCTGTCTCTGGAAACACATCTATAGTCTTGTCTGATGAAATACAATGTTGACATATTTATTCAGTAACTCACAGAAATCTGTCGCAGTCGATGGGAATTGTGAGGTAGCCAATGGGTGCCGTTCCGGTCCGTCCAGGTCTTGAGATTCTGTGATCAGCATTACTTGTTCCAGGAATTCTGGAGTCATTCGGACTTGCTCCTAGGGTTCTAGGACCATTAGGACTTGCCCCTAGGGCTCTATGGTCATTAAGATTTGTCTCTGGGGTTATCTGGTCACTAGGACCAGCTGCAAGGGCTCTTTGGCCACTGACACTTGCAACAGGTGCTCTATGATCACTAGGACCAGTTCTTGGGGCCCTATGGTCAGTAGGACCAGTTCCTGGGGCCCTATGGTCACTAGGACCAGTTCCTGGGGCCCTATGGTCACTAGGACCAGTTCCTGGGGCCCTATGGTCACTAGGACCAGTCACTAGGGCTCTGTGGTTACTAGGACCAGCTATGGAACTACCTAACTCTGTGGTATCCTGTAGGTTTGTACTGTTACCAAGAGTTACTATCTCCCATAACAACACACCTATTCCCCACCTGCAAAAGAAAAATATACACATCTGTAATTAAATTCAACCTTATTATGAATATTTCATGTGTATGTTTACAAACCACTTTACACTGGGCCAATTCATTAATGCAGACAAACTGGTTCATCTACCGGCATATCTTAAATGTCACATTTCAGACACACATCAAGTCTCCCTGTCAGGTCTCCTCAAAAGGCAAAACAAGATCAGTAGGTCTAGTTATATTTCAATCTTTAGATTAATACAAAACAAGAGACCCAATGGACCTGCAACGCTCACCTGGTATATATGTTCCAGTCAAATATCATGCCTCTAGGCCATTTAATTCATGAGAAGTCATTTAAAGGTTTTAACAAATCTGACCCCTATGACCTTAAATATATAAGTCAGTCATTTCTTTTCTGCAGCTTTGACATGATTCATCCTAGGAACATACCAGCCAAATATCATGCCTCTAGTCCTTTTAGTTCATAAGAAGAAGTCATTTAAAGGTTTAACAAAAATATATTTTCTTTATATAATGATTTAATAACACAAGAAGTCGAAGGAAGATTTCTATACATGAAGAGGTCATAAAAGTGGTGTAACCCGAAGGGAAATCACCAGTATGAAGCATTAATTATATGTAAGTTGGATCTTATCACTTTTTACTCTCCTTTCCTTTTATTTGCTCGAACCAATTGTTGCATTGATGGATGAATTTATCAAATGACAACATCAAAGTGCCGTAACTGACAAATGAACATGGATAACGAAAGCTGTCAGATGTGTTCAATAAACAGACAAAGCAAATCTACGGACCACAGAGAACCTAAAGAGAATGACCATCCAATATTTCTGAAGTAATTGTAATAAGTATCTTCAACTTGTCAAATTCACTGATAACCAGCTACAACTTGTGAACCTCAAAAGTCATTTTGATTTTCTTATCTGTTTCAAAAGTAGACAATGCACATCTAGTAACCAAGTTGAACATATAGATGAAATTTGAGGATGCTGATCCAGTATTTCTAAATAAAGAAATAATTGCCTACAGATAGATGGACCACTGACAAAGGAAATTTGATCAGCCCACCATCTGATGATAGTGCGCTTAAAATCTTACTGAACAAAATCAATCTATTTAAGGTTTATCATTATATATATTTGTACAGAAGTCTAGCAAAGTAGATATTAAAATCTGCCACACCAAATTTATTTTTTGATAAAATAATACATTGGTTAATACTTACATGTCAGTGTAATTTGAGTAAATGTCCTCAGCTCGAGCCTCAGGTGGCATCCATGCTGCATATCTCTGAGGCAACTGAAAAACAGAAGAGAGAAATTACTATAAGCAAAATGATTCTGAAGTCATATTACAAATCAAATATATAAACAAGGAATGACACTTAAGGGCTGGTAAATATACAGCTATCCTTCCATTAAATGACATCAAAACAATCCTTAGTAACATCTAAACCATCAATACATTTTAATACAAAGTCCAGCCCAAGGGAACTCTGGTAACTCAATCCTACTTTTTTACCCTCTCAGTTTTCAGGAAAAGGTTGTGATTTTGAACTTTAAAAATTACGACCAATTTGGAGACTTGTCATATAATCTAAAGATAACATGTGTATATTGGAAAAAAGTAAGGAGATGGGGGGAGGAAATAACGTGTATTTTGCAAATTATCGGTGGAATTTCATAACATTTTTAATGTTTGACAAATATTACAGTAAATGCAATGCGACAATGAAAATATAAATATGATCAATTTAGAATTTGGTAAATGATATTTACCTTCCGAGCACGGACTCTTCCATTCTCTCTATCTGCATCTCTATACTTAATGGCAAAGTGGAAGTTGGCAAGCTTAGCTGTGTAGTCATTGTCAAGGTAGACATTCTGGGCACCGACCAGCCGATGTATTATCTGGAAACATGTAACAACATTGAACCATGGAATCATTCCTTGCTTTATCCCTACTTTTACAAGAAAATTTTCATTTGAAGTCAAAATTAAATGTCTTCTCAAGGAAATGCATGTAATAATTCATTAATGCCTCATTAAATAATAGCCCACCTATCAGTATTTTGAGGACAGTTTTCAATAACAGTGTATGTATAGTGACATCATTCAAATGATGTCAAACAACTGTAGTTCCACCATGAAAGCATATATTTCTATTAGAATTCTGAGTTTTCCCATATTTTTAAAGAATATGAGTAATAGAATTTGACACCAGTGTCCATGTTTAACACCTGTATCCATGTCATTTTTAATTCATCAACTTGTCAATAAATTTGATACAAATTTTACTTAAAGGCTCTTTGTCATATGTAATTACAATGTAGCTTTGTTTTGTAACATTATCTTCAAGTTGGTAATTTCAATATTAAAGCAGTTCTGACAACAGAACCAGTATTTAAGTATGATTTAAATATGATGTTTCAATGACCACTCTGTCAAGTGAAGCATATTAGCACGGACATATGGAGTGTACAAGATAGAACACAACCTTTTAATTGGTAATGTAATCCTATCTACACTGAGGAAGAAAATACATTGTTTTGTAAATTCAGTATGTAAAGGCCACTCATTTTTATATATCATCAATTTAGTGTCAACAGAGCACATCTTGTACACATTCTCAGCACTATCAGTGATATTAACAGGCTCACATCTTGTACACATTCTCAGCACCATCAGTGATATTAACAGGCTCACATCTTGTACACATTCTCAGCACTATTATTGATATTAACAGGCTCACATCTTGTACACATTCTCAGCACTATCAGTGATATGAACAGGCTCACATCTTGTACACATTCTCAGCACTATTAGTGATATTAACAGGCTCACATCTTGTACACATTCTCAGCACTATCAGTGATATTAACAGACTCACATCTTGTACACATTCTCAGCACCATCAGTGATATTAACAGGCTCACATCTTGTACACATTCTCAGCACTATCAGTGATATTAACAGGCTCACATCTTGTACACATTCTCAGCACCATCAGTGATATTAACAGGCTCACATCTTGTACACATTCTCAGCACTATCAGTGATATTAACAGACTCACATCATGTACACATTCTCAGCATCATCAGTGATATAAACAGGCTCTCATCTTGTACACATTCTCAGCACTATCAGTGATATTAACAGACTCACATCTTGTACACATTCTCAGCACCATCAGTGATATTAACAGGCTCACATCTTGTACACATTCTCAGCACTATCAGTGATATTAACAGGCTCACATCTTGTACACATTCTCAGCACCATCAGTGATATTAACAGGCTCACATCTTGTACACATTCTCAGCACTATTAGTGATATTAACAGGCTCACATCTTGTACACATTCTCAGCACTATTAGTGATATTAACAGGCTCACATCTTGTACACATTCTCAGCACTATCAGTGATATTAACAGGCTCACATCTTGTACACATTCTCAGCACTATTAGTGATATTAACAGGCTCACATCTTGTACACATTCTCAGCACTATCAGTGATATTAACAGGCTCACATCTTGTACACATTCTCAGCACTATCAGTGATATTAACAGACTCACATCTTTTACACATTCTCAGCACTATTAGTGATATTAACAGGCTCACATCTTGTACACATTCTCAGCACTATCAGTGATATTAACAGGCTCACATCTTGTACACATTCTCAGCACTATTAGTGATATTAACAGGCTCACATCTTGTACACATTCTCAGCACTATCAGTGATATTAACAGACTCACATCTTGTACACATTCTCAGCACCATCAGTGATATTAACAGGCTCACATCTTGTACACATTCTCAGCACTATCAGTGATATTAACAGGCTCACATCTTGTACACATTCTCAGCACCATCAGTGATATTAACAGGCTCACATCTTGTACACATTCTCAGCACTATCAGTGATATTAACAGACTCACATCATGTACACATTCTCAGCATCATCAGTGATATAAACAGGCTCTCATCTTGTACACATTCTCAGCACTATCAGTGATATTAACAGACTCACATCTTGTACACATTCTCAGCACCATCAGTGATATTAACAGGCTCACATCTTGTACACATTCTCAGCACTATCAGTGATATTAACAGACTCACATCATGTTCACATTCTCAGCACTATCAGTGAGATTAACAGGTTACAACAAATACTAGGCTTTAGCTTGATATGATAACTACCTTATTGTTATGTAGAAATATAAGAGCTTGTAAAATATCCACCACAAATTTAATCAATTCCACGTAGCAAAGTCGTACTGTATTGGTGGCTGGGTCACTGGATGATCGCTTCAGGTTGGTCAAATACTTTTTAAGATCTCCACAAACACAGGCCTCAAACACACTATGTATAAATCCTGTAATGTCAAAATTCTTTGTTAAGACTGCATGTTAACACTGTTTTGATTACACTAAATTTTGGTGTATTACAATTTACTGTTATTGCTAAAAGTATTTTATTGTTTACATATATGTACCTGAGGCGGCATATCAACTTACAGAGTGCTCAAGGAGAATTCCAGATCATTTTTTTTTTATTTCATCACTATTTTTGTTCTTATTTTTTAACAGTGCTTAGATCTATGTTTGAATGAAGTAAAGAAATTAAATAACTATTTTATACCTTTTTTGTTGGTAATAAATTAACAACAGGCAATAAGCCTAAAGGGTCATCTGACTATAAAGATTTAAATATGAAAGAGGCCAAAAAGGCCTAAAATAAATTGCTCAACTACACTACAGCTCACATAGAAGACATTGGTTGGTTCATAAAGGTATTTTTTTACAAATTTGAAATCATATTCTTTATACATGCACTACACAAATGCCATAACTCTGAACATGTTGCATGTTGAAAAAGCATGCTACAGGCCCAATATCAAGACCCTTGGCCTTTTGGTTATTGAGAAGAAGTTGCTTACGTATTTCAATACGTTTGACCCTTGTAACCTTGACAGTAGGTCAAGGTGGACAAATTTGGTAGCCCTTCATCTCAGCATGCTAAAGGCCTAATATTAGTACCATGGACCTTTTGCTTATTGAGAAGATGTTGTTTAAAGACTTTGACATATTTGACACAACTGACCTAGAAAATAGGTCTAAGTCAATGATATGAACAAACAGTAGTCCTTTATCCATGCATTCTACAGGTCCAATATCAGCACCCTGGGCTTTTTGCTTATTGTGAAGTTGTTTAAACATTTAACATATTCGACCCCTGTGACCTTGAAAGTGGGTCAATGTCATTCCTATTACCAAACTTGGTAGTCCTAACTCCAAGTATGCTACACGCCTAATATCAGCACCCTGGGCCTTTCACTTATTGAGAAGAAGTAGTTTAAAGATTTTAACATATTTGACCCATGTGACCTTGAAAGTAAGTCAAGTTCATTCATATTAACAAACTTGGTATCCCTTTAACCCATCATGCTACAGGCCCAATATCAGTGACCTGAGCCTTCTGGTTATTGAGAAGAAGTCATTTGAATGGAAAGTTTACTCAAGGCAGATAGCCGACGACAACAGATAAAACACAATGGCTCATCCTGAACTTTTGGGTCAGATGACCTCACAACCTATTACAATATGCAAATTTTATTTAAAATCTGTTTAATCCATAATAAGAATAAAGTGAGGAGGGGCTTACACATACCCAACATCCCTAAGTTTTTTCTTTTGATCTAAATCTAAGATAAAGTGTGACCTTTGAACTTTGAACTTATCCAAAATCACATGAGGTGTTGAGTTTGGTAATGCTATGGTATGAATATGAACTAAATCTGTCCTGTGGTTCATGAGATATTATATACAAAATTATATCATTGATCCACACACACATTATGACATTCCCCCTCCCTTACATAGGTAGGGGTATAATTACCATTTGATTGACAATAATGACTCTTGCGTTGATTTCACTGTAGAGTTTGAAAGTACAAGTTTAACTTAAGGGCTATACAATTAAGCAAAGTCCAATGTACTTACTTTCATTTTCACAAAGACCAATGTAGGAGAGGATGTTTCTATGGAGATCAAGGGTTCGCACCACCTCAACGTCATGGAGAAAATCAGATTGAAGTCTCCTCTGGGTTGCTGTCAACAAAAAAGTTGTAACAATATTGGAAAAATTGTATCACCTTTACAAAGAAGTTTGATCTTATGGTGGCTGGGACTGACCTTTACAAAGAATTTTAACCATTACAGTCAATGGTGGACTATGGCTGATGTTTGACCATTCCAGCCAAGAATGAACCATCAGCTAATTTGAACATCCAATTTTAATTTTAATGGACAAACCTTTACAAAGAAGCTTGACCATTACAGTGGACCTAGACTGTGTGTGTTGCAAGTTCCCAATTTTCACTATATAGAACAGTCCTTTCATCTCCGTTGTCTCTAGCTGAAGGTCAGCTGGGTCAATGGTCAGAGCGCCTACTCTAGCTGAAGGCAGATAAGATATCATGGAAATGGGCTGGTCACTTCCTTCCACAGATGTCTTCCTTACAGGTGCCTGTACATACAAAGCAGAATCATAAGTAATAGCTTTTCATAATTGTATCACCACATTCAGCTTTAAGAATTAACTATCTTTAGGAGAAAAATGATATCATTTGCCAACTACAAATGCAAACATTTGACACAATTCTATTTTCTTAATAGAATAATACTTGCCAGAAAAATAAGAAGGTCCAGCATGTGTGTGCCACAGTAAGCTTTAAAAGTCTTGACCTTTACAGGATTCATCAATGCTTACCTGATAGTTCTGATGGTCACCTGGAAGACTACTCTCACTCTTCTTCTTTAAAGCACAAGCTCCGGGGCACCTACCACGTCTATGACATACCGCACCCACCACAATGACTACAATGGTCAGAAACACCCCAACAGTGGCACTAGTCGAGATGGCGATGGTGCTTCGCTCACTGTCTGCTTCTTGTGTGTAATGTACAATCCTTAGTGACTCTGGAATATAAAAATCACATCTATGCTGTAGCACATAATATAGGCTTAAGTGTAACACAAATGGGCACAGTTTTCTCACAAGAAACAATCTATTACTTTCGAAGATGATCTACCCTCAATTTTTTTCATATGATGTTGATAGTTGATAAAAAAACAACTAATGAGGGCTTTTTACCCAAAAACCATTCATTGTGGAGAGTTTGTGCAATTATATTATTTATAGAGAATTTCCTTATCTAAATTTTTGTCATGACATGTTATCAGAAAATATGTCGAATAAAAAAGCTCGCTGTTGGGTCAAAGGTCACAAATTTTTCAAAATTCTTCGATAAATCAATGCAGAATGGTTATCTAATGAAGTTGATATCTTAACTTTTTCCGTAATGTTTTTCGTTACTGTTTTACACAATTTTGAAAATTTCCTTTGATCTTTTGAAATGCTGACAAAAAGTTTGAACTTGAATTATTCCAAAATCTTTAATAAATAACTTATTTTAATTGGTCGGAAAAAGTTTTCCGATATCCATTTTAGTAATTGGTGAGATTGTGAACCAGGTTGAAAAAACAAAATGGCCACCATGACCTAATTTCCAATTTTAGCTTAGTGTCAGTATCTCATGAACGGCTCCATGTACTGAATTAAACTTTGGATATGTGATGTAGAATTAGATATGAATAATATTTCTCATGAAACGTTTTTCTATAAAACGACAACTTCCGGTTCCCGGTAGGATCAAATTTCAAAAGTGCGATTTTGAGATACAAACTTCAAAAATCTTCTTCTCAAAAACCAAAAGGCCTAAGGTCATAATACTTGGTCCAAGTCATACTCAAGTGTAGGAAAATTAGGTTTGTTAATATGAACGACCTTGACCCATGTTCAAGGTCACTGGGGTTAATTATGTTAAATTTATTAAAATAATTTTTTCCAATAACCAAAACGTGTAGGGCTCTCATATTTGCTATGTAGCATGCTCGGATAAAGTACTACCAAATTGGACAAAAAATACACCGTCATATGTCAACTTCTGGTTTTCGGTAGGCGTCAAAGTTTAAGGGTTCAATTTTGTGACATAAAATTAACAAATCTTCTGCTCAAAAACTAAAAGGCCTAAGGTCATGATATTTGGTCAATATCATATTCAAGTAGTGGAAAATAAAGTTTGTTAATATGAACAACCTTGATTCATGTTCAAGGTCATAGGGGTCAAATATATTTGAACCTTAAAATTGTTTAATTTATTTTGATGTACAGTAGTTATATCTCCTTAAGATTTCAAGATACAAAGTTCATCTTTGGATATGTTGTAGAGATTACCAAACAAAGAAACTTTCTCATATATTGTTATCAGGAAAAATGTCAACTTTCGGTTTCTGAAAGGGGTCAAAGTTCAAATATACAAAATAGGGTACCAGTATTCAACAATCTTCTTCTCAAGTTCCACAAGGTCCAGAGAACTAATATTTGGTATATATTGATCATCAGATATTACATTATAAGGCTTGCAAATATGAATAACCTTGACTGACATTCAATGTCACAGGAGTCAAATATGTTTGAACCTTTAAAAAGTGTATTTCTTCGTTGTTATGCAGTTATATATAAGATTTCAAGATACAAAGTTCATCTTTGGATATGTTGTAGAGATTAACAAACAAAGAAACTTTCTCATATATTGTTATCAGGAAAAATGTCAACTTCCGGTTTCTGTAGGGGGTCAAAGTTGAAATCCTTGTTGAAATGTACAATATAGGGTACCAGTGTTAAACAATTTTCTTCTCAAGTTCCACAAGGTGTAGAGCACTAGTATTTAGTATATATTGATCTACAGGTGTTGTTTCATAAGGCTTGCAATTATGAATAACCTTGACTAACATTCAAGGTCACAGGTGTCAAATGTATATGAAATCTTCAAACATCTTTGATCAAACAAAAAGCAAGGGGGAACTGATATTAGGCTTGTAGCATGCTGGGATAAAGGACTACCATTTTTGTTTTGACTAAGAGTTGTTATTTTCTAAGTTGGTCCGAAATCCAAGATGGCTGCCATGACCGCAATTTTGAAAATGGATGTTTTTTAACTGCTCAGGTCAGCTTGTGGAATTCTGTTTAGGTTTGCATTAAATGAAGCTGAGATTAACTCTGAGTCTGTCCGATATCCAAGATTGTCGCCAAAAAAGTGAAAAACTAACAGAATTGTTAGCAACAATTTCTAGTTTACCTTTTGCTTTATTTGTGCTGGAATTGGAAAATTGGCAAATTCCAATGCAGTCACTATAAACATCATTCTAGTTTATCAAAACTATGACAGTTATATCATCACTGAAAATTTATATCAATAATCATCACTGTGATTATATTATGATTTCTGATATCATCACTGCAGTAATGATATCAGTTTTTCTCAAATTCATAAATTCCTACTATTTCACTCGCAAAACGTAATGAAATTATTCATTTAAAGAGCCAGAGCATATGACTGGTACAGAATTATCATTAGGTATTATTTCATTGTCCTGCATTGCGATTAGTCCATGCTAAGCCAGCTGACCTATTTCTTAATCATAACTCAGGTGATAGTACATTGGATCTCTGACATCGAAAGAGTTTCTATATTCTTTATAGATATGGTATATTTATTTGATACAATAGGAATATTTACTTTTTCAAAAAATTGGAAAAAAAAGTGTCATTCAAATTAAACTACATGGTATACCTGAATACAGAATTAATATACCAGTATGTAAGATGATCTGAGAATACTTACTGCGCTGACAGTTGTAGTTTGTCCAGCCATCAATACATCCCAGTAGACATGTACCATTAATGACATCACATTGAGTGTTATCCTTACAGTTACTACATGAAAGTTTACAGTCAGGGCCAAAGCTTCCAGGCTGGCACTCTGTAACATAAGTATTTTATTATTTATCAAAAACATCCATTAAAACTACCAGCATTATCTGTAAATGAATGTCTGTCTAAAAACTAAACAAAGTATGAATTGTTTTCTAGACCATAATCTAGCTACTAAATTAGAAAAAAAAGTTTTACTTGCAATAATTTGATAGGATTGGAATTTAAATATTTTTTTAAAATACTTTGATTTGCGAATACCAGTATTTTGTTGCTGTACGTCTGTGGGCGCGGTATTTTCATGTTTGTTCATATAAGTATCTCCATGTATTATTAAACCAAAAGAAATTATTGCATCAAATTGCATTTAAGGTCATTTACAAAAGCATGCAATATAATAACCAATCATATTTTGGAAACCCCAGCGATTAATAAGGCCTTCAGATACTTACTGTTAGAACAGTCACGTCCAGTAACACCTGCCTCACAGCCATAGGTACACACACCTGTTCCCTGTTCACATGTGTCATTGAAACAATATTGACATAGCTGTTCACATCTGTTACCATAAAAACCGTTTATGCAGCCAAGACAGAAACCCAAATTTCGCTTGCAGTTCTTCAGACAATTGTGACTACACTCCACATCACACCGGTTCCCATAGTAACCAGACATACAGCCACGACTGCAGTACCCTGACACAAAATCACATGTATTGTCAATGCAGTGAGAGCTGCAAACTTTCTCACAGGTACTGCCATAGTAACCATTTTCACAACCAGAAACACAAGTCCCATGCTCGTCACAGGATTGGTATAAGCAGGATTTGCTGCATGCATTGTTGCAGTATTCACCGTAATATCCCTGGCGACAGGGAACAGAACATTTTCCATCTCCTTGGTGGCAAACCTCACAATTCTCTGAGCAACGTTTATTACAATTCGGACCATAATAGTTACGTTTACATCCATAAGAACAATTTCCTGTGTGATCACAGAGGTCTGCAAAACAATTATCATGACAGGTAATGTTACAGAATGCTCCACGATAACTAGGAGGACAGCCATCTGAACATTCTCCAGTGTCCTTGTCACAGTAAAGAAAGCTATTAAAGGAATTTCTTTGGCAAAATTCACTACATTTCAATTCACACCTTGGTCCATACCAGCCTGATTCACAGGCACCACAGGTATTGTTTTTAAAGTCAAGACAACTGCGACAATGTATTGGACAAGTGGACATACACCAGGTTCCATACCATCCTGGCTCGCAGCCTTGCAGACAATACCCGTTTGTTTCATTACAAGGAATATTTGCACAGTGACCACATATATTATCACACTGATGGCCATAATAACCTGTCTTACAACCACCAATGCAGATTCCATTTGTATTATTGCATCCATTTGTACAGTTGGGTGGACAATAAAGACATTTTGAATCTTTAGAACTCCGATAAAATCCATTTTCACAAATCTCACAATAAATATGGTTCCGATTAATTTCTTCACATTGTCTACAATTTGCAATATGACACTCCTTGTTGCATCGATCTCCATACCATCCTATCTTACACCCAGCAAGACATTTTCCATTTTGTCCATCACACGTTGTTTTGTCCAAGCATGTATCGCTGCATTTCTCACAAATTCCATGGGATGTGAAAAATCCATCCACACATGTGCGACATTCCTTGACTTTTTGTGTTCCATGGAACACTTCTATACACTGTGTACAATTATCGACAGGACAATATTTGTCACAAAGGTGACCAAACCACCTTTGCTCACAGCCTTGGTTACAAACCCCATTGGATGAGTTGCAAGCTAGTTGTCCACCAACACAATGGTCACTACAATTGGTACAGTTATTGACATATGGATTCCAGTACTTGCCCTGTATACATTCAGAACAATATGAATCATATTGGGTGTATGCACATGATAAGCAGTCAACAAATGAACATTTCTGGTGTTCACATCTTTCACCGTGGTGGTTTTCTTTGCATCCAAATATGCATCGTCCAAATCTGTCACATTTTTTGTTTATACATGAATCACTGCATTGTTGTAAACAGTCAATACCATAATGTCCATCCTTACATCTTGTACAAATTTCTTTTGAGTTATTGTACATGCATGCCTTACAATAAAAAATTGAGCAGACCTGACCACAAGCATCTCCCAGAAAACCATCATTACAACCATACAAGCAGTGGGAGGTGTCCTCTCTGCAAAATTCCTGTCCGTAACGACAGTTCTCGCTGCACACAGATTCTGAAGACAGATAATGCAAAATATATAAAAAAAAAAAATTCAAGTACATATTGTAATTTAATTCAAACAATGTTCACCAGTTCAAATTATGCAGAAAATCTTATTATATGCTTTGTTCCATCTTATCAAACATATTGGAAACATCCTTGGATTTGAGAAAATGTACTGTTAATGAACTTTTGTTTTGAAATTACATTAGCACCAGGGGCAGCGACATGCCTTTGCCAAAGCTGTTTGGAGTAAAAGCAGCTAGATTATAAGAACAGAAGCGGACCTTTACAGAGAATATATCAAGAAAAGAAGGTTAACGATGAGAAAATTAACTTTAGTCGACAAAATAACGTCCGGTAATAAATCGTTTGAGGTCGGTCCCTATTAAATGACAGGACCGGTTGATGTTACACCCACTGGCCAGACGATTCGCCCCAAATCCGAAGGGGTATTCTACAATAAACAGTCACTCGTGGCAAATAGGTCGTACTTACCAACTCCAGTTAAGTTCACAAATAATACCAGAAGAACAAACAAAAACAGATTTTGTGACGCATACGTGTGTCCTTGTATTGCTTTCATTGTTTCTTAAGAAGACCTTCCTCTCCAATGTTGTCATGTTTCACCCGGAAGTTCTTTCTCGGCCTATAATTTTCGAATCGGAAGTAGACCCGCTGCTCGTTTACAGACGCTGTCTTTTCCAACAAATTCCTTGGTATGTATTATATACATCGTCTTGGGTATATATATTGGTAAATAACTTGTTTATCATTTATATACCTTTGCCACATAGTAGTAACATGACTGCGTACATCACTTCCTTCCCTAGATCCTATGATATTGATTGGAACTCATTACCGCAGCACACGAGCCGGATCTGATTTTTTTCAGATCTGTCCTTCTAGCTACAATCCACCGTAAACTATGTGTATTTTTCTCCTTTTTAAAATCACACACTGATACATAGATTTATTACGGTTTTCAGGCATACGTTCATTATTATTTCAGCGGACGAGTAGAAGTTTTAACTTACACAAAAAATGGTTTTATCCTAGCTGATGGCACCTTCCACTGTTGCAGTGTCAGATGCAATATATCAATCCTTTGAGTCTGACCCTTACTGCAGAGAAGAAGAAGATCTGAAATAAATTTGAGTCAACAGTCTTACATTAAGCTTTGTAGTTCTTCTTCCCAGCTAATCTGCAGGGTTTTGACTAACATATGATTTTTTTTTTGTTATGGACAATAGAATTGCTCCTTCCTATAAACCGCAAGATCTTTTAGTGACCATGCCTGGCTCATTTACACCAGTGACAGTGTGATGCCTATAAATAATACATAGATGGAAAGATGATTTTTTTTTCTAAGATACATGTGTTGTAATTAGCATGATGAATGTGGATAGACTTGCAATATCAAATAATTAGAGTCATATTCAAAGGAGTCAAGCCAGGAAAAGAGCCACCCAGTACTGCATTTAAGACTTGTGAGGTCTTTCAGTTTCCAGACTCACTTACAGTACACAGGAATGCCCTGTCTTCTGGATTAGCAGGAGGTGTATTTACAGCCACAAGTCAAGGTTTAACTTCAGAATCACAGCTTGAAGTTTGAAATTGTGTGGTCTAAATTGTGGGTGAGAAGATGAACCTTTATCTTAGTTTCTTCTATATGACGTACCAAAACGCCAAGGGAATCAACATGCTCAGCAACCCTCTCTCACCACTGTCAAATGCCATGAAGGATTTAACACATCAGCATTGCAAGAGATTTGAATTGCCCAGATATTGATTAGGAGAAACATAAGAGTACAGAGATGCAGTTGACTGAGGTTCAACCTCTCTGTAGAGCATGTCCTTAGATACGCAATCAGACAACAAGGGAAAAAAAATCCTGGACCTTGTTTACAAACAACCCCATACTATTCCATGGATCAGTGAACACACCATGATTGTGACTGATATTGTCAACCTGCCTCATTATGTATGTCAGAAGGTGTTCATCTTCTCAAAAGCAAACTGGCCAGACATCTACAAGGACACCAATGAGCTTTTTCAGGATTTTCTAAAAAGAAAAAATTGGTGACTTGAGCCAAAACCCTGATATTTGATTTTTTCTGAGATATATGATTATGGCCCTTTGTTTAAATGAGTGATTAGTCTGATCAAAATTCCTCAAGGAAAAAAAGCTGACAATAAATTTTCTAACATAATGGTGACCTTGATCTTACAACCTCTAACAGAGACTACAACCCTGAAACTTGAATTTGTCCAAGATATTACAGTCCTATGTAAGAGTGTGAAATTTCCCTCAAGGAATGAATGTGCTAGAGTGCTAATGTGGATTTTCTAACTTACTGATGACCTTGACCTTACAACCTCAACCACTGAATCTATATTTGAAGAGTGCTGATGTTCAGACCCTAGCACACTGGAGTGAAGAGCTAACATGTTTCTTCAAATGATTTGACCTTGACCCACCTTCAAAGGCACAGGAGTCAAACTTGTTGATGACTTGAATTTTTTTTCAACTAATAGGTCCTGCCTTCTGTGTAAGTTTTAGAACAGTGGGCGATTCAGGTCCATTAGACCTCTTGTTGACAATTATTTTGACCAATTCAGATTTTCTCCAGTGACCACAGAGGTTGCAACAAGTGTGATGATGAAACAGCTAGATACGATGCAGTTTAATTTATCAATTTGCTCTATTGTACTTTGGGTATCTAATTCTAGCTTGGTATTGAAAGGTACAACTAACATGTGTCTTTTGTAGTCTTTGTACCCCTGAGAAAGTAATGGATAAGGCTGCTGAACATGTTTTTGTCATAAAATTCTTGTTGTAGGAGCTAGGATGACATGATGAGGCTGTTGGTGGTGGCATTCTGTTGCCTAGCATTACTACTGTTGTTTGAAGTCTCAATAGAGGCTGGAGGAGTGATCTACAACTATAAACGCTACACTTACAAGAAGAAACGTGATGTAAGTCTACTTCACACCATAAATTACCATATTTTCGGGTTACAAGCCACACCAGTATGTAAGCAGCAGAGCCAATTTTTAATGATTTATTTCAATTTGATCCACATATTAGTCACACCGGTATGGTTATGATGATGCATGACCTGAATTGAAGAACTGCTTTGGTGAATGGACATAAAACAGAATTTATTTCAATCTTAATGAAAGATTATACAATTTTGATGTTTGAAATGAAATTGATCTGTAAGTTTCTGTTTTCTTCATCACTCATGTTAAGTTAGGAGAAATGTACGTACAGGTATGTTAATAAGAAGACATGTAGGACCACCAGTTTGTAATGAAGTCTCACCATCTCTTACTGCAGAAAATATGATATAATTGTCACAGAGCTCTACAAGAAGACAGAAAACTAGAACAGTTTCATCCATAGGACATTAAATGTAAAGTTAAAAGGTGGATATCTGGGATGGGCATTAATGAATAAAACAACGTAGAAGGTGAAAACAAGAAAATAGTTTCATCATTTCAAGGTATTACTGGATTTAATCTAAGGTTGGTTGACTTTTTGTCATTCCGTACAAAATTTTGGTTCAAAAGCTCTAAAACTTAATACATACAGGAATCTAAATCTTCTATCAAGAAAGAGTATTATCACAGGATATTCTTTACAGGATAAGAAGTACAGAAATGCCAAGACCGTGTGTGAGGTGAAGACTGAGTGCCTGAGACAACAAGGTGTAGATCAGACAGCCTGTATACGACAGTGTATATCAAAGTTCTGCTACAATGAACTTTATGGCAATGACCCAGTAAGTAAAGAATCAACACAGAAAATACTGTGGGTCTGACCTCATTGGGAGCAGTATGGCAGGTCCTGTATGGGAAATCAAGGAATCACATTAAAATCCTTCCTCTGTTGGGATGAAGGTATTTTGACCAGATTTTATTAGAAGTATCCTTAGAGGACAGGGAACCTATTCAGTGTAAATGATGGGTCACTTACCTCTGGGGTATGAAGGGTTGGGCTCTATAGCAGCTGTAAAGCATATTCTTTAAAATACTTTTTTAGGAATGAGAGGATTCTGTCCTAACTTGGTCAGAAGCATCATGTGGGTAAAAGTGACCAATGTTGTGTGAACCATGGGTATCTGGGCCCCTTTAGGGGGAGATACAGAGTAAATTATTTAAATACTTTTGTAGGAATGATAGGATTTTTTCAAAATTTGATCAAATGCATACTGTATTCGATCCAATAAACGCCCAGGGCGCTTAAAAATTGCAATTAAGGGGGGCGCTTATTAGAGACCATCTTACATGTAAAAGAAACACATTCAGTACTAAAAAATCTGCCTCCACCAGGAACTTTCCGTCTTCTTTTTGTAAGGAGGTTTCCAATTCACTTTCTTTTTGTCTCCAATCGCAAATTCGCTTCCTATCTATACTGTACTGCTTTGATGTTTCCCCATTCCTTGGCAAACTCTACAACTTTTAACTTGAAAGAAATTTCATACAACTTGATTCAGCCTCCTTTGTGAGATTGTGATGTGTCTGTGGTCGCCATAATTTCAGTGTCAACCTCTATGTAACAAGGTGCACTCTGTCATTATGTTCTCGTTGATAAATTGTTTCAGATCATCTTAACATGATGACACAAAAGGGAATTTGTTTATGATAAAGATATAAAATTCCATTCATACTGTTTTAACACAACTATTTTATTTGTCATTTGATATCTAACTGCTTCATTTGTTTCTGTCAGATAATCTATCACACATGAAAATATTATTTCTTAATCTGCTGTATCAATAGCTATCTTACCGTTAAGTAATGGACTATGCCCATTCAGTCGTCGTTACTGGGCTGAGCGCCCAACACCAAGGTACACAAGGTAAAGGTCATCTACCACGTGGTTTAGGAATGTGTGAAAAAAATGTCTTTTATGTATGAATATTCGTCTGTGGTCAGGGGATATCATGTTTATAGAGAGTGTTGGAAACAATTCATAGGGCAGTGCCTTGACACAGTTATAAGACCTTTCACTGTGACGTCACGAAGTCATGTGCATGAATGGTTTAATTTAGGATTTTATCTGTTTGCAATCAGAGTTGTGAAAGAAGGGAAAACAGTGGGTCACATTCCAAGTGAACTGTCAAAAACAGCTATTTTTTTATCAGGCATGGTTGAAAATTTGTGTTGGTAGTTACAGAGGACATTTATCGACATTCCTCTGTTGCTGGTGGACTGGAGGTGAACTGTTTTTTTTAAAAACGTTTTTCTGGAGTACATCTCCTTATAAACCTACTGAAAACACTTCTTGATCGTGGCTAAAACGTAAGTAAATCTAGACATTTAGGTATCTGAAGGATGGAGGGGGTGCTTATAGGGACATGGGCGCATATTGGGTCGAATACGGTAGTTGGAAAAAGTGGATTCAATTTTATATAAATTTGTCTGATCCCCTTGAGGGCAGGATCCAATAGAAGAAACAAAGGAATATCAATTAAATCCTTCATCTGTTGAGATGAAGCTAGGGTGAAGGGGAACCAATTTTGTATACTTAAGTAAGTGCTTGGTGTGGGCCTCTTAAATCCATTTTGATCAATCTTCATTTATGTATATATAATGTATAAGTAAGCAATATGGGTCCTACAAGCCGCTAGTGTATAAATAGTGGGTCAATGCCTGACAGAACAGTACAAATTAGGGTATATAGCAAATTCTTTACATCCTTCTTCTGTAGAAAAGGTCTCAATTTTGTATAAATAGTGGATCTAGGCCCCCAGGTCCTGAAGGGTAGGATATTATAGTGGAAATCATCAAATTTCTTTAAAATCCTTCATCCTCAAGGAATGACAGGATTTTGTCAATCAAATTCTAGTGATTATTCATTGACCTTTTGGGGGTCATATTGTTCCTTACGTGTCAGCATCAGTAGCAATTGCAATCTGGACTACATTTGAAATATGTGGACAATATATTGTCATTGACCAATTAAAAATACTTTGAAGTATCAACTGCTTGAGCTATTACCAACATCACCCTGGGAGGTTTTATGGGTTTATGGCATTTGACCAGAAAGTGTACAAGATAAATCAATTTAAAGTTATGTAAAGAAAATATTTGAGTCAGGAAGAATTGTTATTGTGATCCTTCGATAAATCTTGTTTCATTTTCCAGTTGGAGGAAGGCGAGATCGATGTACGTCTGAACTCGTTTAAAGGATGTTTGGCCCAAGAGAAAAGATCTTCCATATATGATGAATCTGCAAACAACCAACTCATATGATCTCAAATCCCAGCAAAAGCAATTCTCATCAGTTTGTGTCACTTTAGATTGTAAGAACTTGTGACCTGTTTTAAACATATTGCTGCAATTCTTTGTTCAAATAAATGAAATTGATGAATCACAAGCATCTCAAAGATGAGCAAGTCACTGTATTGTTTATAAATATGTTTACTTTATTATCAGTGTGTGTAAATATCCATATTGGGTGATGAGCAAAAATAAATGTTTGAACTGTTTTGTGTGAAATTTATATATCATGTATTGTGAAAATTACAAAACAATGAAACTACAGTAATTTGAAATATAAGATTATTTCAATGTATTTATTGCTTTCATGTATTTCCTGATAAAGATTTGTACAAAGGAATATTTATTTTTATTACTAGCCACCCATGGTTCTGATAATTGTTCTCAAACTTATGCTATTCATTTGTAGAATAACATGGAGAGCCGAGTAGATTGCATCGTGAAATCATCTGAAATATCTTTCTAATAGAAAAACAATAATAAAAACAAAGTCTTATCAATATCACTCATTTTCAATGTGTTGAGGTAAACAGATTTCATTTTATGATCAAAATTGAAATGATGAAAAATGATGTATGTATGTTTATATAAGTAACAGCTTGTTTTATGAATAAGTTATAAACAGTAATGTGTGGTGTATGCAAATTTGAATGCTGAGTAAAAAAGGGAAAGAAAGAAAAGAAATGTTGCAAGAAGTTATGTTATAATGTACAATTTTGTTTTGTATTTTTCAAAAATTAAATGATAAAAATTTGGATAAAATGTGTTGACTTCATGTATTGAGTTAAATCTGTTGTACTATCAACAGCCATGATTTTCAAGGATGGTACAAGGCAACACTTAATTATTAGAGTCTATATTGCATTCCAACACACTGGTTGTAAATTGTCCATGTGGCATTAGAAATGAGACATCCATTTTGACAACAATGGAGTTACACCTGGTTCCATATTTGACCAAAAATTCTTGTCTTAATTCAAATTTGTTGAAATGGAATTTCTCTCCTAAATAATGTCTATCATTTTGCACTTCACTTATATTTGACCGAAGTCAGTTTGTAATTTCTTCAAGTCGTGCACGTTTTGAGTTTGCTGTTTTTTTCTTGTTTGTCGCCTTTTCATTTTCTTTGTTAGATACAACAGAGGAGGACCCAGATCTAGAGTGTTGTACATATCGTGTCACTGTTGAAACTCCATCCACGAATCTTGTCTTGTATAAAACATTGGCATTATTGAACATACCATCTTTCAAGGACACCACAATAAACTGAAAAATAATGAAAAGACAAAATTAAGAAAGCTTTCAGAAAAAAAGAGGATAATTATGTATAGAACTTGGTTTTGAACACACACATTTGACTGATAAACTGAAAGCAGCATTCTTCTTTTGTACAAAACCTCAGAAAGGTACCTGTGAGTGTTTGAAGTGAGAGCGAATCATCTGACCAATGTTTTGTGTGTGGGAGATATCCAAAGCTGCGTCCACTTCATCCAGAATGTAGATGGGTGCAGGTTTAAACAGCAACATGGCCAGGATCAGAGAGAGGGCAATCAGCGACCTGACAATCAAGTAATGACAGCAGTTTATATATTTGACGTTATTACTGTGATATTTCAAGATATTTATTCACAGTCTATACATTTACACATATCTTCACACATATATTTCATAAACCATTCACAATTCAAAATAGAAGGTAGAAGACATTTTCAGCATCTTTGAACTGTACAACTAGTTAACCCAAATTTTGAGAAAGAGTAATTTGAGTATCAGGTATTTTCTTGGTTTATCACCCGCGAACAGCCAGGTAATTTTGTGGCAGGGCAGGGGTCTCTTTGTAGTAACTGGTGGCTACATCGATGAACAACATACGGGAGACCTGATGTAGTCTCCACAGAGCAATTGGGTAAAATGTCTTGCCAAAGGACCCAGTCTTGTTGGCATAGACCATTCTGTTTGTCAGCTAAGAAACAAACTGCCAAAGGTAGGAGTGTTGAATTACACCTCAGATCTTCGTGTGAAGCTACAAAGCCAACATTCCCAACACTGTGTAATTGTGGCCCCTAGTCTGAATGAAAGAAAGTATTGACAGAAAAAAGAAGGGATGATTTCTAATAAGCCTCCTTTGTGATACTTTCTGAGATGTAGGTCACTAATAGAACATCAACTTAAACATTGATCAAGTTATCTCTTAAACAGTATTAGTATCAGAAAAACAACCATGATTACCTTTGACCTCCACTGAGTTCTCCCAGGGATTCTTTCCACACATCTCCAAATCCAACCTTCACTTCTAATCCATCAAGGACTGTTTGCCCTTCTGGGGGCATCAATTTGGCACATGCTCCAGGTAACAATGTGGAGAATATGGAACCAAAGTCCTACGGCAAGGTAAATAAATATTTTTTTCGTGATAGGCCTGTTTATATCACATTTTAAATTCTAACAATATTCAGAATTCATCACCAGGTTTCAAATGAACCTGACCTTTCATAATGATAAATGGAGCTATAATGATGAAGAAGGGAGAAGAAATATCAACTAAAAATCTCAATTTTGAAAACTGTTCAGAGCTTTTCATGTTTTAGTTTTAAATACTCACTTTGTTGACCTGCTCCCATGCTTTTTTCAAGGCCTCATTTTTCTTTTGATCCAATTCTGCTATAACTGCAGCAATTTTGGCTTTATCGTGAAGTACAATCTTTCTCTTCTTTAGAAGATCAGCATACTGGAATGGGAATGATTTTAAATGTAGAGAGTTACTTTCCTGTGCAAGTATGTTTCTCCCTCTTTATTTTAAGAACCATCTAAAAGTTAAAATTTTTAAATTATTCCAAGTAAGAAATATCCAGATATTGATCCCGTAAGTAACCTAAATGCCATCAATTGTTTTCATCAAAACAGAATTTCTCACACTCTTTCAAACTGTAAAATAGTTATTTAAACATGTTTTTACAGCTGTATTTTAACATCATTACATCACCACATAACCACACTATTTTTACACATACTTTGGGCAGAATAGTATATTTGATCCTTGCCTAATTACATATTTCTATTAAGCATACAGTTACATCTAATATATATAACAGAACAATTTGATATTAGGATGGCTTTCAACAGGGTTTTACCAATCTGAATGGAGAAAGGAGTTCTTAATTTTCTCTCCTGAAGAGTAGTATAACCATTAATGACATGATATGCCTTTGTATCTTTTTTAAGTCAACTGATGAATAATGGTCGTAATCATCTTCTCATTTGTCAGGGGTATCTCAGTGTAGGGATTACATTTTTCTCTCTAGAAAATCTGGCCAATGGTTCCTAAATTTGACTTCAGCTATAAAGTGAACATCATGAATCTATTTGTAAGGTTGTTTAATATCTGTGATCATGAAATTATAAAAATGTCTTTTATGGTGCCTCTTCATAATATTCACAAGATACTTGCTGGTACACATATCTCACTGTATTACATATTCTTTGAGTACCTGTTCCTCTGCCTTGCCTAACATGTTCATTGCCCTCATGTTGACACTCTTTGACAGTTTGTCTTTGGTCTCCTGCAGCTTCTGTATCCGCCTCTCTGCTTCCTTGGGATCATTAGCCTTGAAGTCATAGGCAGTGTTTGCTTGGCCAAAGTATTTTTTCTCATCCATAATCCAGTGATAGGATTGGAGCAAGTTTTCAACCTATTTATAGAATAACATTCTTGTACTTGAAAAAAAAGTTATTTTTCTTAAATAAAGAAATTAATTTATAATGTAACTGTGATCTGTTTCCATTGGATACCACCACAAAGACAAACCCACTGCCAAGTATGATACATGTACATCATTAGATTCTGAATGATCATCCTCTGTTACAGAAACTCTAACAATTGAGGGTTTCTGAATGCTGAAAATTCAAACATATCAATTTTCAAAATGAAAGATGACGAAGTGGAAATGACAAATACAGAGGAGAAGGATGGAGAATATTGATCTGAATATAATCAACAGCCAACTCTGTGCCCATTTTGTATCATGATCTCATTGCTTCTCCTGTATCTGAAATTTTCCTGAGGATAATGTTGTTTACCAGGTCACAGCATTGAGGTCAGTTATTCAGTATTAGTACCCCAGAATTTCATGAATCATCTTGGCTGCTGTCATTTGCACATGTCCCCGATACTATCTAATTGTGTTTTCATATACACTGTATACATCTACATGTGATCTGTAATATTCCAGTAAAATTTCATCAAAATTGGATCACATGTTCTGGAGGTGTTGCCCAAAACAAAATTTGTGGACTTCCACCAAAACAGAGCGATCCCAGTGTACTCCATCCGACCCAAATTAGCATGGTGCCAAATGTACAGATCTGACTTGCAGAGTTTAAAATAATAAACAACATGAAGTACCTGTCTTGCAGCTCCTTGTGAATCACTCTGGAATTTGGACATTTTGTGTTCCAACTCTTGTATCTTGAGCTCTGCAGCATGGTGTTCCTTTGCGAGACTTCGCTGCTCCTCGACCTTCTGGTTGATGTCTGCATTACAAGCCTTCAGCAGCTCCTTCTGTTTGTTCAGTTCTGACTGGGCTGACTTCACTAATGCCTAGGACAGATGATTCAAACAAGTCTCATCTAGTTGTTGGATCTTCATCACACATTAAAACAACTGGTAAAATGATATTTGATGGGCTATCATTTAATGGTACAAATTGATGATAACAAGTTTTATCCTGTGGTAGTAAATAGGGAAACATGTCCGATTATATCTTTGTTGACAGAGAGCTACTCCAGCCCCAGTAACTGGGTGACAGACAACACATTCCATTAGTTTTTTTCAAACTTATCTCCTCAGTCATTTTTAATGGAGAACACGCAATATGTGTATCAATATCAGTCATCGTTACCCAGTGGTTGCAACTGATACCTTCCCTTGCCTTCGCCCTCAGTTCCTTATCAACTTTCTGTTGTAGCTACCAACTTTCATGATTTCATCAATACACAAGTGAGCTTTCTGGGTTTGAGGTACACTGGTTAGTAATGATCTGGTCAATAACCAGAACAGCTTTGACATCTTATTAACAGAAAACAAGATGCAATACCCCAATATAAACTTAAAACAACTTTTTAAATAGTTTTTTTTCTATAGTAATGCAATCATCAAATTCAAACATGCTAGTAATTGCCATTTAAGAATTTCAGGTACCGTACACAGACTGCTCAGAATCAAACACTCATCTGTCTAAAGGGAAAAATTTGTCCTCAACACTAAGATTAAAAATATATACCATAAAAACCAGCATAATGTGTGCACCTATATAATCATCCAATTAATCCACATTTATTTGTCTAACGTACACAAACACTAGTCTTCACAGTAGACCTAATAAACAGTGTTCAGTGTTGTAATCACTGGTACAAGTCATTATCTACCGATTAATGATCAAACCAGATAATTACGATCTCGCTGTTATATATCATGCACACTCCAGCTGAGGCCCAAACTCTGTATATGCAAGCAATAGGAAATAGGGAGCATGAAATGAATCGCATGGAATGTACTGTAGGCATGCATATGTGTATTGTATTAAGAAGAACAACGTTTCATTACACATTTCGGTAAGATAATCACGCTGAGACTATTCCCTCATAATTATTGTACCATTAGATAAGCTTCGTAAACATCAATAAGACCAATTTTAATAAATAATGAATTGAATCCATAGTCCGAGGAAGAGTCTCTATCCACATTCTGCATACTAATATGTCAACTCTAACTTCTGTCAATACACATGAAAATGGACGTGTGCTCATGGCTTCTAGTTCGTCGCCATATCCAACGTATAGAATAAAATGAAACCTGTCAATTTCTGAACAGTTGAACCTTTAAGTGTTTCAAAAGATAACCACATTATAATTGGCATATTTTTCAATGTCCAAAACAGGCAACTGTCTTTGCTAATCATTAGTTTTCTGTTTAGCTAGGTGCTATCACATTTTTAATCATTATGTCCTGATTTTGCATGATATTGGCTCAGATAGTCTGTATTAATATATACAGTAAATATCTTATTTGTGTCAGTTGTGCATACCAGATAATTCTGATGATTAATGATGGCAGCTTCACAGAATCTTTTATATTCTCTATGAAAAAAATCCTTGAAAATCCTATAACTACTTAATGTGCACACCCCCAACTTTGGACATTTATTTTCTCAAAAATAAAAACTGCACACATTACGTGAGATTTTATGGTAAATGAATATATTTATAAAACACCTTATGGCAGAAGTACTGTAAATGTAGATTCTGGATAAACAGCATGTAAGGTATATAGTCATATATTGAAAACATGAGATGTTGACCATGAAACTCTATTTTTATTAACTATGTTTTTGCAATGATTCATGAAATTCACAGATGTAAATCCTCTCAGTTCCCCTTACTGAGTGACAAATGGCCCACATTTTGTGGCCTTGCCTTAAATAACTATACCTTGACACACAAGTCTACCTTAATTTCCGTGGCCTATTATTGGGAAACCAACATTACAAACCTGAAGATTCTTTAGGCTGTGGTAAATCTGACTTACCTTACTCTCCTTGGCCTTCTCTGTCAATTCCTCTATTTGGGACTCGTACTGTTGGATGGCCACAGCCACCGTATCCAGCTGTTCCTCATATCCTTTTATGCCTTTCTTTAGTTCCTCTATCTCTAGCTTTAGACTATCCACCTCCTGGTTAACAATGGTGAATGATATTTATCTATATTGCGTTGGAAGGAGGTGCAGTTGGCATAAATTTTGTAAACATTTCTTTTTGAATTGTTTTATTTTCAACACTTTCACAATTATTCTAATGTACTATTGATAAGTGAAGTGATATATAAATAACTTTAATGTGCATTTTTAACATTTGAGTATCAATTTTTCATCACAATTTCTACATAGAGACTACACACTGCCCTGGCCTTTTCTAAGGTTCTCAACTACCGTCTGTGTTCCCTCAACAAAAAAATCACGAGAGAATGCATTGAAAGCCACTTATATGCACATGAAACCAGTGTAGAGTCTCAATCCATCATGAGACCATTAAACTAAACCATTCATCATGTGACTATCATGTGACCATCATACTAAACCATCATGTGACCATTATACTAAACGTATGCTATCAAATCAGACCTGGTATTTTTCCTTCATCATTTTGCTAGATTCCTCCATCTTTTTCTTGGCCTTTGTGACAGCTGCCTGGGCCTCCTTGAGTTCCTGTTCTCTCACTGCTTTTGCATTCTTTATCTTGTTTTCCAGGTCTTTTACCTTCTTAGATGCCTTGTCTTGGGTTTCCTTTGCTTTTTTAAGCAGCTCTTCTTGTTCCTCTGCAGATATAAATAAAATTTGAGTTGTAAGAACAAAATGACATATCTTTCCAAAATTTAAGCTGAAACTGATAAAAGAAAGATTATTTGTCATTAAACATATGATATCTGATATTGCTTCTTTAAAAAACTGATTCTGATGAAAATTTTTGAAATGTTAATAAATCTATGAGACCCTTGTTTGAAAAAGATCTTTTAATAGGTTAATAATTTTTTTCTAGCAACCTATGGAGGCTTGTAAGGCATTTATCTCTTCCAGCTGTTGGTGATGGGAGCTCTGTTCTAATCGGGCTTTCACAAGCTCTGCTTCTTGTACTTTAAGATCATACTTATGTTTCATGCTTGTAAATCTGAAAGAAAAATTAGCAAGATAGTCATTTGTATTGTCTATTTGATACAATTTTAAATGAGTTTAAGCCAAATCTTATCAAACAGTCTTCCCAAAAATGTAGTAAGATTAGAGTTATTCTGGTTAACTACCAGACCCAGGACTCCATAAATCACTTCTACCCATGACAAGGTATCTTCAATATTTGTGCCTACTATTTCTTAACAAATCATAAATTCAGTGATATGGGTTGTACTCCATAACAAAACCTGAAGTCCTTGAGTTTTACTAAATTAGCCTTTACCTTTCTTTTGTCAAGTAAAAAGCAACTAAAGCTGTTTTTAAATAAAAATACTTCTTAACCATTTGAAGTGTCAAAGACTCTGTTTTCAACAGCTCTAATTTATAATGAAGTAATACAACAATACTTCATTACACTAATAGTATCAAAGTTTTGCCATATTGTAAGATGCATTGTTGAAGTTTGTAGTTCTTGAAAGCAGTCTACTGAGAGTTCAGAGATCAACAACTTACTTTTCTGCTGTCCTCATTAGAGTGGTCAGCTCCTTCTCCACCTCATTAAGTCTCTGTTGTTTGGAATTCAGCTCTTCTTGAATGTCCTGGAACTCTTGTAGCTTCTCCAAGATTGAACTTGTCTGGGCTCTGGCACCTAAACCACAGCACAGATCAATCATAAAAAGATTGGGAGATTGGCCTAACGACCAGAGTTGTTTATAACTTCTGATAATTGGTTTTGATCATACACTTGAAATTTAATTTATATTCAAAATTAAATCCTAGCATATTTAGATGAACAGTATGAAACTGAATTGATATGTACATCAAGCAATGAACAACTTAAAACATTTCATTACTTTTATATCTTTATGAATGTAGGAAAACATAAGCCCAACTCTTCACTTTGAATAAAATGTCATGTGTTTAACCATTGGGTCTATGGAACAAGTTAGAGCAATACCAGATCTTACCTCCTGTGAGAGTTCCAGCAGGATCAAACGAGTCACCCTCTAATGTCACAGACTTCTTCATCACCTTTTCGTCAAATGTGACCTTTTTGGCAGTATCCATATCTTTACATACAAAGGCGGAGCCAAATACAAACTCCATTGCAGCTTGAAGATCTTTCTCATAACCAATCAGAGACAGAGCAGTATTTACGTTGTCCTTCCCTACCTATTGAATACAACAAAACATTTCCTGCTTTTAATTCTAATATTTCCAATATCCTGTCGTGTTTACATTTGAATATGCATGCTATGCTAATTTTTGTTGATATTTCCTAATTTCATGAATATGAATTGTGTTGGGAAATTTTCAAGTATAAAAAAGGCTCTGAAATAGATATCAATGATATTAAACAGCAGCAAAGTGATGATTACCAGTTGTTCAGCACGTTTGACTGTGTCCATGTTGATACAGCGTGCAGATATCTTGTTGAGAGGAATGATAGTATATCGTCGTCTTAACTCTCCCTTTTGTAGGAGCTTCTTACCCGTCACCTCAGTGTCTACAACCACATTGTACAGCTGGAAACAGAAAATACACATTGATCATGTTGTACATACTTCAGACAAAATTTCCATTTCACTCTTGATATCTACAATTTTGAAGTAATTTTTTCTTATTTCAGAAACATACCAAATATTCTACTAGAGTTCTTGTATACAGAAAATTAAATACATTCACAATATGAGTGAGTGTGACTTATCTGTAACATGAAATTCAGTTAAAAATATTCAAAACATAATTCCTGAAAGTAACATTTTTCTTCTTCCATTCAAAGAATTTGAAAATATAGATATGCATATATTGCACTTATGTACCTTGTGTTGATGTTCAAATGGAATCTATACTGAAGACAGAATCAAAGTACCAATGTTCAGTGGCTTGATAGGACTTACCTTCCCTCCAGCAGAAACTTCCAAAGCTGTAGCATTCTTTACATCCTTGACTTTAATCAATTTACACACAAGTCCATGGACCTTGCTTCTGTCAAAATTCTTCTCAGGATCCTTGTACTCAAATTGTAACTGTGGAAATCTGAAATCAAATCATACACATTCCATAAAGCAGGTTTAGATTATCATACTATCGACAGACTGAACCTTATCTGTATATTTTAAACTCCTGCAGATTATTTTCAAATGTGAAAATAATGGTAATACACCACTGGTCATAAGTTGTACAGTGAAATAACCTCAATTAATCAATGGACTATGCACATGATATACAAGTGAAAAAAAATCATTGTTACTACCTAGCCTCCAGGGTCTCCAGTTTCTCCTGTAACTTCTGAACATGTTGACTAAGGCTTCGTCTCTCTGATGACAATTTATCATCTTTACCCTCCTCAAATCCTAACTTCTTCATTTCCGCCTACAAAATAGACAGTTGCTGGTCAAAGTTTTATTCAGTATTGTCGGTCAAACTTTCAATCAAAATTGTCTCAACAATATTTCTCGATTAAAGTTTCATTCATTGTAGCTTCTCCAGTGTACTGTCAACTTTACAACACTCATTTAAAATTTGCTCAACAGTATACCAAGTACCTTTTTCTCCATTAAGTCTTAATTAAGCTTAAAGTCAAAGTCTAAACTTATTCATTTTGATAGATTTCATTAATTTCAGTCAGAGAAATATTATGTTATTAAAAATCTTAGGTGCTGTAAGTTCAAATTTTAAAACTTACATGTATGTCTAACAAAACATGTTTTGAATCTATACATTAACAACAACAAACCTCAAGACCAGCCATGTTTTTGGTGATAGCTTCATAAGCACTCTGATCCTTCTTATATCCCTGTTCAGTTTTCTTTAGGTCTGCCTGCTTCTTCTTAATCTCTTGCTGGGCATGTTTCAACCTGTTCAACAATGGAATAAAATATGTAACAATTTCAACGAATGAAATAAGACTATTCTGCATACCTCAAAAAATTAATTACATTTTACATTCAGATTACATAGGTTAATTAATGGATTTATATAATTGGGAAACCATTCACTTGTAATCAATATGTAAACATATACATAAAATATAGTATCTTAGATTGATGTACCTCATTTGAGCTTGTTTTGTCTCTGTCTCTGATGTACTGATCTCATTCTTGGCAGCTGAAAGACATTGATGAAAGGATGGATAAAAGAATAATGGAATTTTTACTGATAAATCATAATTCATATCTTTGTATCCGAACAGTTTACAATATGGTTTCTTGCAAATCAATTCAATAAACAATTTACCAATTCAGCTATTCAAAGATTCTCACACTGATTGTCATCAATAACCAAATTTAATACTGAGGATCTCACTAAACCTGTCAATCACTGTTTTTAAATGTATTTTTGAAAGGGTGACAAACAGAATCCATTTTTATTTTATATAACTTACTCATGAGCTGGTCATTCAGACTGGCATCTTCACCATCTGTATTTTTTGACAGGCCAGAGGTGGCAGCTTGGTAGTGTTTCTGGGCAGCAACGTGAGCTTCTTGGTCACTCTTACTTTGCTCCTGTAGCTTCTCCAGTGTACTGTCAACTTTACTACACTCTTTTTCTTTAGCTTGTAGTGCTTTTTTGTCCTTTAGTAAATCAACAGAATAGATTGTGCAATATTTCCTGTCCAACACTATTTCCAGAGAGAAATAAGATGAAGGAAAACACAAAGAAAACAAAATTACAAATGCAATGAGATAAAGTTCACTGTTAACTTAGATGCTTCATTCCATAGAATTTTTCTGAATTAATGAAAGCCATCATGATGAACGTCAAATCTATAGTTAATTAAAAGATTTTCCATAAATAATGTCTGACAAATTTCCTTAGAAATGTCCACAATATGACCTACATCTTCTGAGTGCTTGGTAAGCTCTTTTTTCTTTTTCTGCTCTGCTTTCAGTCCTTCCTTCTTGTTGTCAATGGCACTCTGTGCAAGAGCCTCAGCTTTTTTCTGTTCATTTAGGTTCTCCTCTAATTTTTGCATTACACTACCTGACTCCTCATCTCTCTTACGCTGTAGAGCATCAATAACTCCATCCAACTCTTTGACTTTAGAATCAATCTGGGGAGAATAATATTGATTGATACTGACACATGCTTGTTTGGGTTTAATGTCCGTGTAACGACCAGAATTATACCAGGACAGGTTTCTAAATTATTTTCCAGGTAAATTGTAGTCATTCATCATAGTGACAGGTAAGTGTTTTCATTCTTGTTTATCTCCCCCACCCTCCACCCCCACACCCTCTCTTTTAACATGACATACTACCTTTTGGGTGTCATTTATGATATGATATGAGGATGAAGAAAAACATAGTCAATAGTAAAATTGGCCAGGATTTTTCCAAATATTATTTTCTTAGACTGTAGCTGTTGAAATATATAAACAGCAGGTCTAAGAGTACCAAAACTGTGTTTATAGTAATATCTAAATCATCAAGGATAAGCATTCAAGATAAATTGAAATTTACAGGCACACAAAGCACAGGGAAAGCTTCCATTAATTTCTACATTTGATCTGTATTTATCCTGTATTCTAAAGTATTTTGTTTCCAAAAATCAAACCTTTAAGTTTTTTTAATTATGTGCTCTAGTTATACCCCACATGAATGGTATTTGCCCAAAACAAAATAATTACTGTACAAATCTTACGTTCCATGCAGATTAAGTATTTATATGGAATCATTTTTTCTTTAAAATAAAAAATTACTTTGAAGAGATATCTGAACACTCATCGATAAGGAATTAGCAACAGGGTTTGCGTATCTAATGTCTAAAGTATTTTGACTGTTTCAACAGATGAACAGTCAATAAAAATATTTCTTTGAGTTTGGTATTGGAAACAAGGGGAGCAACTCATACTGTTTTCAATTATCTACTAATAATCACCTCGACCATCCTGTCCCTCAGAGTCTTGATGCTTTCCTGCATCTGTAACAGTTCTTCAGCTGATTTCTTTTTCCTTTCCTGGAAACATAAAAATTTGAGTGTTGATACATATATTTACAGGGTTTGATTTATTGTAAGTCAAAGATTAATCTACTCAAAATCTGCAAAAATAGTTGTTTAGACAATTGATGAAATAATACTTTCAAAGATGTTCTTATTCTTTTTGTTTCATTTTAAATATCTTGTTAAATCATAAATGTATTGCTTATATTTGGATTAAATGAAAATCACAACTAACCTGCACTTATTAGGAAATATTTACTTACCTCAGCACAAACAAACTGGTAGGCTATGTAGAGTTTATTAAGATGTTCCAACTCTCGTATAATTTTCTGATACTCCAGATAGGATGATCGTTCCTCCTTCAGTTTACTAAGTGTTGGTGCAATGTCTTCCTTCAAAATCTGACAAAAAAATAAACCAGTGAATACTGAATAGTAGTCGTAGATTTGTATCAAAATTCACTGATAAATGCTAAATTAAAAACCTGACTCCATCCAACAGTATATGATGAAGCAAATATATATGAACTTTTTCAACCTTTGATCTTAACAATCATGCATATAAATACATTTTCCTATACCCAGGGTTTGTAGCATTACAGTTATCAGGTGACAGGAGGAGTTGTATCCTGTTGTTTTGTAATATTAGATGGACACTGTTTATATCATACAATCGATTATAATGAAAGGTATTGCGTTTTCTTTTTTTTTCTTGTTTTGATAAATTAAAATTTTCATTAAAAGATGTATGTGTTATTCTATTTTAAAATAGAGAATATTCATGTCAATTCAATAATTATATTTAATAATACTGACATATCAGGTCCATATAACCAAATATTCACCAGCTTTGAGTCAAGTAATTATGTACATATGGAATGTTTTATATCAGTTAAGAAGATGGAACATAATGAACATAACCATAGAGAAAAGCATAAACCATTGTATTGTTAAAACCAATATGATGTAGGAAGGTGAAAAATGAACTTTCTGCTTTCAAAAATGTATCAACATTGCTCAAACACATCTACATGATCATGATGGAAACAATTTTACAATCTGTTGGAAATTTAAAGGTTCAACATACTGTATCTATTTCTCTTAATTTAGCATCTTTTTTCTCAATTGTTTTTTGTGCTGCTTCCTTTTTACTTTCATACAATCTAGTTCCTGCTGCTTCTTCAATCATTGACAAAATCTGAAACAGACAAGCATGCTTTTCAACAGGGGTGCAATCCTAAAGATTCTAGACATCATACTTTTCAACCTCATTTTCTAGTAAAGAACAAATATGAAGAAAAAAATTCACTTGTCGTGACACAAAATGTACTACACCCTGACACGCTACTCTTTGTCCGGATAGTATTGGTAAGATTAGCTGCAACATCTGAGTATGTTATTAACATGAATGTTTATAATGAAACAATTACATTGTGTTTGATTATAAAAGAGGTCAGAGCAATCAATCACATCAAATATTCACATAATTTCAAACACTTTCTTTCAATTTAAACATCATTTTTTTTTAAATATCAAGTGGCTGAATTTTACTAACATCCTTTCATTCTGTTGGACTTTGGAAACCAGATGTTGAAGTTAAGCATTGTTTTCCTATGCAATTATATTTACCTCTGGTGGTTTCATGTTGAGGACTTTTGTTATCCGACCTTGCATGATGAGGAAGTGTGGGTTGTTCACATTGAGCTGGACAGACCTGAACAAATCCTGGACACGGGTGTTGTTAGCATTGCTACCATTTATAAGGTATTTATTTCTCCCACCGATCACAACCTGAAGGATGAAAAAATTGAAGTCATTAAAAAAAGAAATGTTGAGTAAGAAACAATACATATTTCAAAATTTGAAAAAAATCCATTTCAAACCTTAAATTTTGTCAAATATGCTTAAGCCTGTACCTGTCTTGTGACTGTGAACTCATTGTACTGTTCATATCCCAGAGGACTCTGTTTCTTGTCCATATTGTCAAATGTGATGCTGACAGTTGCCTTTGTGATACCAGCTTGTCCATTCTTGTATACCAATTCTTGCAAATTTGTTGCACGTACCTGATAAAGACAGAAAATTTATAAGTAAACCTGGTTTCATCATTCAACTACTTCATACATGTATCTTATAAACTGCAGGTTTTAAGTCACATGGGTATGAAAATACAAGTGGTGGTATACATAGCCCTAACTAGATAAATGAAATTTGATAACTTTAACCATTTCAACTCTGGTCTCTCAGAGGAAACACTACAATTACACAACTAAGACAAATTTTAGTTCATAAATATACATACCTGGTATTTACCATACAAACTTTAGTGTAAAATTGAATAAACCAAACATCCAGTTTACCATAGCACATGTGTAGTGATACTAATAAACTGGTCTACTATAAGCATATGAGGTGTATGAAGACAAATGCTTTCGTAAAAATATAGTTCATAAATAGTTCCCATGACAAATTCATTCATGAACAGCTTCTTATATATATGCCAACATTCAAGAGTATTTTTTCTCTAAGTACTTGGGGCATTTGTAGCGTGTTGCGCTTAAAGGTTTTGTCGAACTTACCGACATTTTACTAATTTAAGCTCGAGATTGAACAAGCAAGTTCAGTTCTGCTGTACACATATCTCATAGAATCACACATGGCTTTGAAATATAACTTATTAGGGAGTTGAAATTGGTAAAAAAAAATCTGATCAATCGCAAAACTAACGTTTGACAGATGTCCACAGGCAATTGTCAACATTCAAGACAAAAATATAGAGGAATAGACAAAACCGGACAACTACAAAGGCATTTCATAGAATAGGCTCCAAAGAGCAGGTTAAATTAAGGAAGAAAAACTACACACCAACACTAAGTGTTTTACATGTAGTTTAAAATAGTTTACTAACATGTGACAGATTTGTAATGCCGAGAAGAAAACAAATTGAATCCAAAATGTTTGACTTTCCACTTCCATTCAAACCCGTGATTGCGTTGAACAGGGGATCGAAGCCACTGACTTCAGTCCTTTGTGCGTAGGACTTAAAGCCGTCGATCACGACCGACTTAATATGCATGTTGATTTACACAGATACTTCAAACTTCAGACAACAGCATCTGAAACGGAGACGGTGTTTTGAACAGGTCTAGCAGCCCTCAAATCTGGCGCCCATTTATTTATTGCATATACGCATGCGTAAAACCGTTTTGGACCGGAGGTCAAATAGATTTTCTAAAGTTAAAATGAAACAATGTGTGGACATAACAATGAAATACTATCATGACCAGAAAGAAACAATGAATATTTAATTATCAGAAATTGAACGAATATCTTTTATGCATGTTGTAAAAAGCTAGCGCCAACTGCTCCTGAATGATTTTTCGAAAAAATCTACAATTGAAATCCGGATTTTCTTATCCATATTTTATAAGGTTTTTTGTTTAGTTCGTTCGAAGCAGTGCTCGGCTGACATGGCGGACGGGAGCATTCAGGGATTTTGTTTACATAAGGATATTTATTAATTTTATTGCTTTAAAGGTTACAACACTTCATCGGTAAAACGAAAATAGGAACAAAGGCAATATTTAAGTGAGTTAAGTTATACGTGTGTGTGTTTTTGCCGAAAACAACGGGGATTGATTTGTGATTTGGGTGTTGCTAACCACGCGATCGTATCTTTGTACCTGTCAACCACATTGTCTTAAAGAATATTGGAAGCGGATTCTGGCCGCAACAGGATTTGACATTTGTTACCACAAACACAGGTAATTTGTATATATACTGAGGAAATGTAAAATGTTAATTTTGTTAAATGGAATTTGTTCTTATATTTTTTTAACGATTTACAAATCTTATGACGCAAGTTTATGAATTAGTAAGACTATCAGAGAGAGAGAGAGAGAGAGAGAGAGAGAGAGAGAGTATGGATTATTATGTCTCTCTTCTCTGATAAATTCTTTTAAAATATAAGATTTCTTCAACGGTGTAAATATTGTATGTCCTTGGATTTATAAAGATAAGAAAGAAAACAGAACATATATTTTTTAGTTTTCTTTTTTTTACATACCGCACAGTGCTGTATATAATTTATGTATTTAATAATAAGATATACATTTGTCTTTTCATAACTACCTGTATGAGAACAAACGTAAAAGAACATTAAAGATATTTAATTGTATTATTGTTTTTAACACAGTGTCAATCTTATGAATAATCCCAAATTGATATCTTATCATGAGATATTTATAATTTTAAAAGCGCTGTAGCAAACATTTGATGTTCAAAGACTTTTGTTAGACTGTACAATCAAATCTTGATTGTATGCATATATGTTAACTTTACTATGAATCATTACAAGTAAAGCAAGATAAATTACATAATGTCATGACATACTTTACTGAATCAATAAAATATTAGATATGCTGTAGATGTCTTCGTAATTCACTGGTAAGCTTAATCTTTAATCTGTTGGAAAATGTATTAATCTGAGTTTAGGCTGCCCGCTTTTCACCAGAATAGGGATAGTTTTCATGTTTGTAATCCAACCATTGGCTTTATACCTGTTTGTTGACTTGTTACTTGTTGGCTCCTGGCACCTTCCTACATCACTTAAAATCCCTCTTCAGTTTACAGGTATATAAGGAGGTTTGCTTATGGCCAATCACATTAAAAGCTGTTGAGATATCCTTGAAGGAGGTGTACACTTCAACATATAAAGGATAAATATCTTTTTTGTAGTGCTGAGTTTAAACGGTCAAATATGATGCATTACAAAAATATTGATTTTGAATTTCTATATGTTTTATAGGTATCTGGGACTGTTTTGATATTAGTATTATGTTTTTAGGGGGAATAAGTTCATTTTTGTTAGAATTATTGTGAAACGTTTTTCAACAGCAAAGTATAAATTCAATTTTATTCAGGAAGAAACTCATTTCTTATAATAATTAAGCTCACATTTTCCCATTGTTGTTCAGAAAAAAAGACAAGTTAAAGTTTGTTAAGGTGTAATTGCCTCCTGGTTTGGGGTTGTTATAGAATAGATATTTAGTACTTGCATAATTCTTCTTTTATTGATGTATATGTAATAGACATAAACCTTTTTTAATCATGTGACAAAAACTGTTTCTGGGTGTAATTCTATATCATTATGATAATGATTAATCTAAATGTAATACCGTCAGACAGGGATTGGAGCTTTGGATATGCAAATTCTTGATAGACTCTCTATTCAATTGTGTCTTGGTCACCAGTAATTAATTGTTCTGTTTAGCAAGTTTCAACCAAATGTTTTATTAGAATTTGTTCTGAATTATTTATGTTTTTGTTTTCAATCCAAACTGCAAAGTAACACAAGAATTTACCAACAATAAACCTGTACAATGTTGATATGCAGGTATACCTAGGTGACAACATTTTTTACCAATCGTAATAAAATGTCAAAATGTAGCAGTAATCTTCATAATCTTCACTTTTGTCCCACAGTCAAATTTAGATATATACTGGATCCAAATGCCTTTTTGTATTTCAGAAAAATGTTCAGGAAGAATTAAAAAAAAATAATAAAAAACCAAAGAGTTAGACAACTAACAGATTTACATTTTTTCCCCAGTGGTTTAACAACACCATGTCTTCAACAATGGTAGGGAATGGCTATCAACAAAACTACAACACATACAATGGCCAACCTCCTCCTGACCAGGGACAAAATGTGGTAAGGTATTCATAAAATTTTCTGTTGGATTTCAGAGTCAGACCTTGTCAAATTATGATATTCTATATTTCAGGAATATGCTTATTTTCTACCACTTTTCACATGTTTGACATAAATATTCCTGTTTCCTTTTCTGAAAAGAAGTTTCAAGCTACTGAATGAATTGTACATATCTTCATTTGATATTTTATATTTTCTTATGTCCCTTCTTAAAGTAATTCTTCTTAACCTTGTTAGAATACTGGACACTTGCCAGCTATGAAATGTATCAATATTGGTCTAATTGTTCACTGTATATAGGGTTGTAATATAATGTAAATGCTTTATATTGCTAGGTGACAAGAATGTTTGGAAACTACCTGTCCAAAAAACATTAATTTTTCTTTCTTTGAAAGTTGTAAATGGCAAATATCCAGCATGTTGAAAAGTGATTTTGTATCAGTGTTATTTTGAACATTCTGTGACATTAGTCCCTGGTTAATGAAATGTAGTGTACAGCTTTGTGATCTTGGCAAAATTTCAAGTTGCTCAAGGCTGAATTTTCCATTCTAACTTAATGCCCATACATATCAAATAAAACAAACTTGGGTCTGTCTCCACTAAACTCTGTAGTAAATATCTTTGCATTATTTGACCAAAACAACAACAAACAAAAAAAAACCCAAAAAATTAAGTGAATTTTTTTTTTTCAAAAAATGATACTGAGGCTTATTTTTTTTCAAAAGGGTGAAAATTTGCTTTAAATTTCAAGAGTTTTTTTTTAGAAAAAAATTGTGGAAATCAATGTATTACAGGTAGAAATATAAATGTTTATAAACAATGTCAAACTACATTAGCAATGCAGAAAGGCTGTAATGAAACATAACTTTAGAAATCTCCAAATGGCCTATTGAAAATTTTTGGCTCCTGCCTCGCTTCTTACTGATTTACGGCTTGTCCAGAGGAAAGCTGAAAGATTATCAGGAGTCCAAAAATTTTCAATGAGGCTTTTTTTGTGGTATTTTTTTCAAAAGGTACTTTGGCAAAAAATGTCTTTATTTTATCTTTTATTATCATTACAATCTTAATGTCCTGTCAACACATAAACAGTCATTAGGGCCATCAACCGGTGAATTTTGAAATATATGTATGCAGTACATAAGTACCTCGTCTAAATTACATGCGCAGTACTTTTATAAAATTGTGTGTACTTTTGATTTAAGTGAAATATTTCAGTTCATAGATTTAATTAGGTATAAAGCTTGCTAATGCTAAGTTATTAGAACACTTTTTGCTAATGGACTTTAGATTACCTAGTATACAAGCTTGAAAAAACAATTTTTTTCTGTCTAAAATCTTGTTTTGACATTCAAACATCTGGGTTTCGTGAAGTATTCATACGAGTCATAAAAGTATGAATAATTTCCATATTTCATTTGTCAAATATTTTTTTTATTTTGATCATATCTTTGATATTAATGATATTTTTTGGAGAATATTTTCAAAAAAATAATTCTAATGAATAGTTCTTGTCTGATTGGTGTTTTATATATAATGAGTATTATAAAGGAACTCTTCCTGGCCTGAAAACATGTTTGCAGTACATGTATTGAAAGTACCAGTGCAACAACTGCAAGAAGGGTCATTTACAATGTCAATTGCTGTTAATGAATAAAAAGTTGTGAGAACTTTATTTGTAATTATTTTGTATCAGAAACTAAATATTGATGATTAATCTTGACCTCGGTGCTTTAACAAGTTAATAAACTTGTTCAACCTACTACAGACAGTACTGTGATATATATATACAATTACAAGGCGCAAATTATCTGTTGAATCTTGGATATGTAGGCATACTTTTGTTGATGTTAAAGATATGTTTCAAATTAAAATGTCTTAGTCTTTGTGTGAGTATTGTTTTACCTATAGCATTTTTCTGTACTTAGTGTTGAGATGGGTCGGTCTTTAAAGGGTTTGAAACCCATCGGAACATTAATTTATACATATACTGTAGATAACACTGTTCACAGCTTACGCGTGTATAGAATTCGTAAACTATTAAAGGTACATAAAAGATTTAATAGAGATCTTTTAAAGCAGGTCTAGAAATATGATAGATCATGTCGATTTACTAGATCCATTATTGTGCAAGCTAATTTCTTAAAGCTCAATACCCCACATCTTGTTTTTATTTGTGAGTTCCTTGCCTGAACTTTGTCACGGGCCACAGTAGAACTATTCACATCGAGTTCTATATAAGACTGAGATGTTGGTTTAAATCTCACACCTGAATATATCTAAGGTTGGTGCCTTGTTCATAGGACCAGATTTGTTGTCATTGACAACCAGAAGAAAGACCTATTTGTTCCTCAATGACAGCAACACTATCAGTACTGCCATCATTTGATCATACCTGACAAGTCAGTCATGTCGTGTGTAGAATTAAAATACATAACCAGTTGGAGTAGTAGTCAGAACTTTATATTTGAAGTAGGAATTTTCAGATTTTCTCAGTCAGTAATAAATTCAACTGAATTATTGATTAGGTAGATATAAAAGCACACCTATACACTACTCAAAGCACACCTGTACACTGGTCAAAGCACACCTGTACACTGGTCAAAGCACACCTGTACACTGGTCAAAGCACACCTGTACACTATTCAAAGCACACCTGTACACTGGTCAAAGCACACCTGTACACTACTCAAAGCACACCTGTACACTACTCAAAGCACACCTGTACACTGCTCAAAGCACACCTGTACACTACTCAAAGCACACCAAGGTGATGATAAAAAGAATGTGACATCTATCTGTTTGTTACAAACAATTTTGTGTAAACAAGTTTTGGTTATTGAGGAATGGAACCTTTTCTTAACGAACTGTTACAAAAAATAAGTCAAATATATTTCGCATGAAATGCAAAATTTCTACCCCAAAATGTTAAAAACTAAAGAAATATACTGAAAGCTTAGATGTTTCAAATAGTTACCAAAAATACATTTTTATATATTATGAGTCTTGACACTTGAATATTGTTTTTAAACAGCTGAAAATTTACATGACAGATAAATAATGGTGTCAGCGCTATAGAATTTGACTCAGAAATAGCATGGTATATTGTTGAACAATATATGCTACCTGTATTTGTATAGAGACATACACAAGATGGTTACTTCTTCTTCAGCCAATCCAACCTCTAAATAATAATTATATATCAAATCCATTGTCTATAGATCCTAAACATGACACTCAAATCAACATCTATTGGGTCATCTATGTTTTAGGTTTTCTTTGTCACAATTAATTCATACACTTAGCAACCCATTACAAAATGATTTTTTATGAACAAGATCACTTAACGTTTAGTAACATTCTAAAGGCAAAAGAAAAAAATAAGTATTTAAACTGATAACTGATATACATGAGTGTTACCTTTTGACATAAAGCAAAGTTAGAGGTCATACTACTAAGATAGGAAATGGGGAGGGGAGTGTCACTCTGGCAGTATAGACCATATGTACTTTTTGCACAACATAAAAAACTTTATTCTTTTCTAAATAACATTTGTGAGTCACAAAGGTATTTAATTTGAATCTTTAAATATTTTCTATATACTACCAGAAAATTTTGGAGGAAGCATATAGTCGCTGCCACATTTGTCTTTCCATTTGTCCTTTCATGTCCGGAGCATAATTTTGCCCGCAGTTTAGCAAGGATTATGAAACTTGGTGTATACACTGGTCATACTGAGGCAATGTTCTGTGTACAAAATTCAGGGACCTTGATCCTTCAATTACTGAGTAATTGCCCTTTGATAAAATATCTTGTCCAGAGCAAAACTTTGCTTGCATTTAAGGTAGGATAATGAAACTTTGTGTATACATTGATCAAACAAAGACAATCTGCAGTGTTAGTGCTGCAACCCCAGAATTACAGAGTGATTGCCCTTCATTAAAGTTTTGTGTCCAGGGCATTAATTTACCTGCATTTAAATACACTAAGATATTGAAATGTGACATAAACATCAGTCACACAAGAGCAAGGTGAAGTTGTAATGTCACGGTCCATGATTCCTCAGATACAGAGTGATTGCCCATTCATTAACTTCACTCTTGTTTTAATGAGCTAAATACATGAGATATTCTGATAGATTGCATAAATAAGAATCTTCATTGACATTCACTTATATTAATAAACCCACGTATATCACCGGCAGTTTAGATTTTACATTCTGATACATTTTAAATGCAGATTCCTTACCTATTATATAATCAAATTTGGACAAACTTTCCAAGTTTTCTCTGGATCATCATTGCTAGAAATGTTTTATTGTGAAAGAGGTTTTATCTATAAATGATTACCTTCCTCAAATGAATTGAAGAATAAACACATATATGTATATTAAAATAGTGAAAATCATTATTATTATTATTGATTTCCTCATATTTTCAAAAACTGAGAAAAAAAAAGTTGATGTGATTTTACAATGAAAGTTGATTTGTGTGAATAACTGTTTGGAGTAGTTGTTTCCCTTTTATATGATAGAGACGAAGTATCTGTGAGCTTATAGATACGGGTTGGCATCCGTCGTCTGTCCTTTTACATTTCCTGACATCGCCATGTAGGCTTCTGAGAAAATGATGCTATTAAGTTCTTTTACATAAATTTTCAATTGACCTAGTTTCATAGCAACAGGGGTAAAGTATGTTGTCTTAAGGTGATTTTGAACAATAGCTGTTAATGTATCTTTGTATTCTTAAAAGAAAAACATAAGCTTTGCATTAATTCTGTTTAAATCTGACATCTTTGTAAAAAAGTCTATGAATCACTTTGTTCCAAAAAACGAAAAAAGAATAAAAATGGGGCTTGTTTCTTTTTTTTAATTTCAACTAAAGACCATGAAAACAAAGAATCACTTTAATGATTATTTTTAAGTTTCTATTGATGTATGCTGTTGATTACAGATCACTTCAGGTGTGGTGAGCAATAGTGATGAATACCGCCAACGGTTACGAGAAATTCTAGGCAGTCAACGTCAGAAGGAATATAATCGATTTTTACAAAAGGTTCAATTTCAGAATAGAAATGTAGAATACTAGATATTAAATATCCTTTAACCTTACATTAGTGGATGGTTAGGCCAGGTACTTACTTTAATGTGTTTGGCTTCAAACAGAAACCTGTTAACCTGGTATCGTTTCCCCCCTAAAATCTCTTTGCTCACAGGAATAATACTAAGTTTTCTGGAGGTGAACGTCATAGCCATTGTCTCTACATTCCCCGGAAATCTTTTAACTTTGTTATGTGGTAGTATATATATATAGTATAGATTTACCTTGCGATATTGACTTAGATATCCCTGCTTTGCTTGATATACCTGCATGTAGCCGGAATGTCTTTGACACAGCATTAATAAGTTTCTCTTGTCAGAAAAACAAACCTGTTATTTAAAATTCTCATTCTGTTTTCAGTTTTATGAAATAATATATTTCTTTTGCTTAATCAAACCAGATTAACAGTCAACAAAATGACAAGGTTTTATTATGTTAATATTAATTAATATGATTAGTATTAATATTATCTGCATGTTACAACAATGTATAGACCAGTGAAAAAGTAGTTATATACAGAGTTTAAAAATCATATCACCATTTGATCATTAATGTAAGTAATTGATATTTACCTAAATATTTGAAGTAGTGTATACATTTTTTATGTGGGGCCATGATTACTCAGTTGGTAGAGTATTGACCTACAGAACTTAGGTGAAAATCTGTGATGTGAGTACACCATAGTGTTTAGTGACTCTTAAAGAGCTGAGAAAGGGATCTGTGCTGTTGTAGTTGCACCCTTGGGCGAGATATTTTAAAGCAGTTGCTCTGGATGGCATGCAATGGGCCTCCTGTATATTGTTCAATGAGGTAGCCGCCAGCTACTGTCAGGAGACCCCACCTCAAAATGTCAATGGTTGCTAATGGGAGCAATACAACCAGCAAAGAAAATGTCTATCTAGAAGTCTTTTATTCAGGCAATATGTTAACAGCATGATTTATAAACACTTATGTCATTAAAATCAGTAAAAATCAATGATGAATGTCCATTCTATGATATGTAAAGGATGTTGTATTTCATTCAAATTTTAGAATTACATATGTGTATAATTATGTTCATGTTATCCTTATTGGTACCACTTGTGTACAAGTTACTACTTTATCTACAAGGTGTATTTCAATAGTACCATTAAAAGGACCAAAGTTTTGTAGGATTCTAAATAAGGACTATTGCATTGAAATCTCAAGGTTACACACAACCTGTTATTATTACAATCTTCAAGTGTGTTATTAGATGTTGGATTTTAAAAGTATATTACACAACTTTAAAAATAGTTTATTACATATTATGAAATAATTTTGTGTAATAAGCCAATGTCACCTATCTCTATATCTACTATCTGTCTGTACATGTCATCTGTCTTTATATTTACCACCTGTCTATAAAGGTCTTCAGTTTTCATCCTTACCACCTTTTCATAAAGATCACTTGTCTTTATATTTTCCACCTGTCTATAAAGGTCACCTGAGTCCTTATTGCCTTGATAGTAGCAAAGCCATATTAGCAGTGGCTAATTTTTGGACATCTGAGTTTATGGTGACTGGATACATAATAGTGAAGGCTGAATTATGGAACAGCTAGAGAAGTTAAGGGTTGGATTGTCAAACTTTCATATTAGCGGTAGCTGGATTATGGGACAGCCAAATTAATAGTAGTTAGGGAATGGGGTAGTCAGATTAGTGAATGCTAGATGGTAGGAAGGCTAGAATGGGAGAGGCTAGATAGTAAGACAGGCAAATTAGTGGAAGCTAGATGTTGGGACAGTCAGATTAGTGGGGGCTAGATGTTGGGACAGTCAGATTAATAGGGGCTAGATGTTGGGACAGTCAGATTAGTGGGGGCTAGATGTTGGGACAGTCAGATTAGTGGGTGCTAGATGTAGGGACAGTCAGATTAGTGGGGGCTAGATGTTGGGACAGTCAGATTAATAGGGGCTAGATGTAGGGACAGTCAGATTAGTGGGGGCTAGATGATAACAGTCAGATTAGTGGGGGCTAGATGTAGGGACAGTCAGATTAGTGGGGGCTAGATGTTGGGACAGTCAGATTAGTGGGGGCTAGATGTAGGGACAGTCAGATTAGTGGGGGCTAGATGTTGGGACAGTCAGATTAGTGGAAGCTAGATGTTGGGACAGTCAGATTAGTGGGGGCTAGATGTTGGGACAGTCATATTAGTGGGGGCTAGATGTTGGGACAGTCAGATTAATAGGGGCTAGATGTTGGGACAGTCAGATTAGTGGGGGCTAGATGTTGGGACAATCAGATTAGTGGGGGCTAGATGTTGGTGTGGATAGTAGGACAGCCTGATTAGTGGTAACTGGATAAATGAGGTTGAAATGAAGTAATTATATGTTGTCATGTCTAGGTAAAACAATGTAGATGATTGATTAGAGATGTGCAGGAAGCGAGTAAATATTTTGCCTTTAAAATACATATGTTTAATTGTATAGCCAATTACAAACAATACATGAATTCTCAGGGGGATCTAATTAAGGAAGATAATTGTTCAGTTTTTATATTGCATATTGTCTTGTCATGATTTGGCCGAGTTTAATTAAAATGTTTGTGAGGCTTGTGTTGTATTCTATAGTACCAGGTAGTGGTGTTTTGATAAGTTTTAACACTTGGTCTTGCCTGAATTGTAATGTTGTTAGTCTATGCACTAAGTCTACCCTGTGCTATGGATTGACACAAAGTGCACATCCGTATATGTATAAGCTAAAATCAATGATGAGTATAAAATTGTCCTATATTTGGTAATATCCCTGTTTCATCTGACACAGAATGGTCGATATCCTTGGGATTGAAATCTCGATGATAGTGGATGAAAATTGAACACGTTAAGCTAACACATATTCTACATCCAGCAACACAGCAGTAAAATTACATTTTCATCAGCCACTTAATGTAGAAAATCTTTAGACCCTGTTTTGTATCTCCAGTGAGCAAAAAGGTCAACTGTTGACATTTTGTGAGTCATCTTTATCTTTATTTTCATTTATTCCAGTCCAGAATTCTTGAAATGTCAATAAGGATTTCATGAATATTAGAATGTTTTCTGTCTGGAGATTTGGAAATTAAAAGGAATAGCTAACCACATGGAAATATTGATATTTTATTTCAAACAAAACAGGTTCAAAACAGATTGAGAGTTGCCCATCTAATATTTGGTTTGAATTTTTGAAGTACAAATCTTTTGCTGGTGACCTTAATTTTTCCTTTGGTAGAATGTTGCCTTGCCGACACAATAGCCTCACTGTTGCTGTGTCTTAACTTTAAATTTTCTATATATTTTTCCTCAGCATTAAAATTTTTATGTAACAGTGCCTCAATTTCAAGCGATAATGCTGTATTCTCAGTTTTTATCTGTATGGATCACCATTTTGACTATCTATTGTTTTTATATTGACAACACAGGAGGGTTATTATGATCCCCATCCATCATCCAGACCACCAGCAAATGAGTATTATGGATCATCCACATCACAGCCACAAAGTGTTCAGGTAGAACAACCAATAAAAAGTCTTGTTTCATTCTTTCATTCTGCTTTTCTTTAATCTCCCTTTCTAATTTTCTTGTTATTTTTTGACAGATTTGTGAGACTTAACTTTATAACAAAAACAGTTTGAGTTTTGAAAACCAACTAAGTGTGAATAGAGTAGATAAAAAATAATAGATTTGTGTTTGGATTTTCATTAATGCAAGAACATCATATAGAAATCATTTCATCCAAAAATTAAAAAAAAAAAAAGAAAAAAAAAGTGAATTTTGATACTGGTTCTCCTTAAAAGGTCCTGATTCTTCTTAGCTTACACTTTGTATACAACCTTTCTCAGCTTACTGAAATAAAATACGACACTTTTTTTTATAACACACTACCACCCCTGTTAGGGTGGCTATATTTCACCACACCCATTTCCAAATCCTCACCTGGCATGTTCCTTCCATTATTTCACGATCATTGATTTTTCACAGTGTATTGAATATCTGTCTTCACCATGTCAAACCCTATAATAGGGATTAATATTCTATCAATCTGACACGCGTTTCTTTCTTCTACTGAATAACATAGTGACTGTAATACCCTGGAGCAATGGCACAGTGATGCAACTTAAGCTATTGTTTTCCATTGTTTTTTTTTTCTACTCTCCGATGATGGAGCGACTTTGGATCAGTGAACATTTTCAGTTGTTTTAAACTTTTTGCCATGTTGACACTGCCTGTGTTTGATACTGAACAGTTATAGTTTTGACTGACAAATATTTTGTCTTTGCATTAAGTAATTTTTTCAGAGAGACATGAATACCACATTTCATTTTTAAAATTAAGTTTATTACCAGGTATTCAGATTTCATACCAAGTATTTTTTGTTTTTGTAGTTACAGATAAATCTATACACTCTAAAGGCAGATTCTAATATTTTTCTGAAAAGGGACATGGGAACATTTTGTCATATCTTGAATGGATAAACTTTAAGAACAAACATTTGATTAGTAATGAATTCAACTTGCTGTTGTTTTAAAACTGCCATATAAATGTATAGTTTGTTGATAACATGCAGTTTCAGCAGAGAATGTTGAATTTGTGGTTTTCCATCAGGATTTAAACAATATTTTTTTGTGTCAGTTATCAGTATTTTATGACATATCATTGAACAATTCACCATTTAAATATGATAAGCATTATGATGGCTTCATTTCTGAAGAGATTTCCATTAAACTGAGCTAAGGTCATTTATGAAAATACCCATGCCTGTTACAATATGATTACAAGGTCAAGGTCAACAATACTATTTATAGCAAATTCTCAGCCAATGTTGTGTCATCAATTTAACATATTTATTTCCTATGACAAAGCTATGTTACAAGAATTATACATCAACTGAGTTGGTATTTCAGAGTTTTAAGGTCAAGGCCACCAATACTTTTTAAAGAAACTTTTGAAGATAAAGATATTATTTTTGATTTGCATGAGAGTGAGGACATTGTGGTCTTATAGTCTTGTAGATGATTTTTAGATTGAAGTAATTTTCACATTGTTATAAACAGTGATCAGAACTTACTCTCCATTATTTTATTGATTGCTGTACTTATATTCCTTCGGGAATGTCTATTTCATCAGTCTAAGTATCAATCAGTTATGGTTCAATGCACAACATCATTAATAACACATGTTTTTGTTAGAAACTCAAACACCGAAACATTCTCTTATTGACAAGACTTGTATTTGTTGGTTGTTATGTGAAGAACATCACTGGTATCTAAGGTTCGGTTTGTGGTTTCATTTCATGTTGTTATGGTATTTAATTACTTATACACAGAAGATACAGGCACATACAGGTATGTACAAGTGCTAGCAAAAGATATTTAGTAAACCAGTAAAAGTCTGATGCCTTTTGAATCGCAGTTGACTGTATCTATTATTTGTATCCAACTGACCGAAAACTTAGACTACAGAGGGAACTATATGTTTGTTTATTATTGATTGGTTCTTTTAAAATTCATATTCTGTTATGATGTATGAAATATTGTAACCAGTTGGACAAGTTCACTTTTATGTGGTTTCTGTCAATCATTTTGTAGAAATGGAGACCTAAATCCTTATTTTTGGTCAAGGTTGTCTCTGATCATGGCAAAGATCAAAACAAAGATAGCAAAAGTCTGGTAGTTATATAATCCACAGGACACTATAGAATTCTGTTAAATGAATCCAATTGGAAGCCATATATGGATATTTTATTTACAACTTATTACTTATTTTGCAAGCAAGTGAAAATATTTGTTTTCAGATTCAAGCAGAAAAACTTTCAGAAGCAGCTGATGTTCTCTTTTTCTTTTTTTTTCAAATATAATCAATATCAGATCAATAATTGTTGAAGTTGTCTTGTGTTTACTGTAGACAAGTCCGAGACGTGGGGTGTACTATCGTTTAGCGAGCCCAGAAGTGGGGCTGCCTCTTGGTCGATATGAAGAGCAAAGAAAGTCATTAGACGAACAGAGACAAAGGGACTATTTCGCAATGATGTCCCAGGTATAAAATTCTATACTAATGCGAGAAAGGGGTGATGGTGTGTACACTTGTGTATGTTGGTCGAGTGCACTTGTACGCTAGTCGGGTATCGGTACATTTATTTCTAGCTTTCCCAATTGTGAGTTAACTCCCCTTGATGTCACTTTGATTTTCAAATTGTTTGTAATTTTTCCATTAACAAAATAAATGTCATTTCTTATTTATTTACAATTTTTATATCCTTTCCTTCCATCCCTCTTACAAAATATGGTAATATTTCTTGCATTTCCAGTTGTTATGTACAGTGGAATATGGTGTTTTGTATAGTAAAAATGATACTTTCAAATAGTTTTATAACTTACCTTTGAAAGTTTGCTTTGCCAGATTGAATTAATGATTCAACTGCCAGAGAACAATCTTATGTAAACTTTTCTTGATCCTTTTAGCCCCCAGAAATTAACCAACTGCGACCATCATTTTAATGGCAATAATTGACCGTAAATATTGGCATAAAAATAAGTAATTAAATAAATGAATAAAGAAAATAAATTAATGGAAGCTTTAAGTATTTTTTAAAAGATGATGAAATTTTAACATTTACAGATACATAAGCATTTGTTTTTCAATTCAAAATTTTATTAGAAATATTACTGTATATGGAGAATCGATCTTATGTACAAGGATAAAGAACCCATAGATTTTCCTCAGCTTTTTAAGTATATCTTAAGCCATTTCTCTAGCCTACTTAGTTTAGAAAATAATCAATTTCTCTGAATGAAAGATATTGAACTTAATACATGTAGCTACTAGACTACCCAGTACATACATATTTCCTGTAGTGAAAACTGTCTTGATTTGTTTCTGATAGTGAAATACTCCATAGTTTGAATTTTTGATTTAAGGTTCTTTAGAAATCATCGGCTGAAATAAGGTCAATATCTTCATAAACGAAGACTTAATACAAAAATATAATTGATTTTTTTTTATCAATTTTTCAATTAAAATGTTTGTTGAAACAGGTTAAGGTTTAAGGTAAAAGTTTCTAAAATGTCCATTTGAATTAAGTTAAGTAAATGAGAAAAGTATTGACTTTTCTATATGAAGTCATGCTCAGATGGGCATTCATAGATTTCTATTATAGAATATGTAGGCCAACAAAAATGGGCTGGTTTCTCTTTCTGCAAAATTATGGTAATGCAGTATTGTGTGCCATTCTTGCTAATGGAGAGATCCAGATTTTGAAGTCATTTTGAAGAAAAACTTGATTTCATATGTCTCCTTCATTGTGAAATATTTCTATAGTTGCCCATTGCAATTATCAAGCAATAGTGAAGGAAGGTGAAAAATAGCGTAGCTATTTAAAAATCTTTAACATATGATATAAAGATGTTGATCAGAACTGCATAGTAACCAGACATATGATGATTGATATTCATAATTTGAACACTGCCATAGAAATAGTCATAATCAGTCCTTGCTGTAATAACCCAGTCAGTATAGAGTATCAGACTTTTCAACCACAGGTGGAGTTCTGCAGTGTGTAGTTCTACACTGTGTACTCAGGGTGGTTTGTGTTTGTCAAGAAGCTGAGAAACAGACCATATTTTGCTGTTTTTGTTTACCTTTGTATAGCACATGGCAGGCCTTCTGTATTTTGTTCAGTAAGGTAGCCACCAGCAACTACACATGGCCCTGGTTGTTGACAAGGTGATATACCCAGTATACAAACAAACAAGCCTCACAATGAAGTTCAGAGTCATTAGTATTCTTTATTATAGTGGTTAATTAATGTATAGAACAGCATTTGAAATACAAACCTGATAGTAACCTTTGAAGATGAAATGATAATTAAATAAAATCAGTTAATGAAATGACCCTAATTTTTTCCGGAGTTGAATATTTGGTATATGTAAATTTTAACCAATGTCCTAGTGCTACTCAAGGAACCATGGAGGGGTTCCTGAATCATTGTAAAACAAAGTATTTAATCATGTTTTAAGTATTTTGTGGAAATACTGTGGTAAAATATATTAAAAATGTTCAAAAGTATTTCCAACAATTATCAACAGTAACCTGTACATAACATAAATATCTAGTTACCCCAGTCATCTAATTATTAAATTAAAACATTAAAACATTTACAGTTTGATAATTCTAAAGTGATTTAACCTGTATTTATGTAAGATGATATGAAAATTTCACAGTACTTGAACTTATCAAAGGCTTAATACTAATTTGAACCTTTTTATTGTTAGACTAAAAAATATACCCATATTCCAAATTGAATTTCAGGACTCATGTTTCTATCACCCCAATTGGAAAGAATATTGACGGTATAAAATAACATCTATCTAACATCCCATTGTTTTAGATACAAAGAACTTTAAATGGCTATTCTTAAACAAAACGTCTGTAATGTGAGGTTAACATATGATTTATAGCTAGGCCATTATTTAGAACAGGAGAATCCTGCCACCTCTCAATACTAACTCAA